GGGCTCCAAGGACGAGTCTGTCGAAGGCAGAGACTGCAAGGATGCGATTGAGCTGATAAGGGAGTAAGAAGAGTCGCTATCTTCTTCGGCGGAGTCTCGAGGTTCGACTTGGTCGAGTTCGACAGGGGGGGCCAGTTGTTCGGCGAGATCGTGTTCTTCGAGCTCGGCAAATGGGAACGGGGCTATGAAGTCGCGAAAGCGACTACGTGTTACGCGGGGCAGCAACAGGTTGACTGGAGGTGTTGGGGCGGTGGAGATTGGCGTCGTCGAGTGCGGCGGCGGCGCGAACGTTCGAAGTTTAAAAAAAAGTGGAAGGAGGCTCACGGAACCTCCTCACTGACTCCGAGGATGTAAACTAGAACGAATTCTATACCGTGGTGAGCAGAGCTAAGATACATGTTAATGGGAATACGTACCTATACCGCGGTGAGCAGAGCTAAAGAGCACGGTATAGGTCGTCGGCTATATAAGTGTATGCGTACGTAATATGTGAAGTGTGCCGAGTAAGACCAGGACGAGGAGTGGGTCTTACATTCGACAGTGATTCATTACGATCTCCTTTACGCTGTTCCCAATCGTGTTCATACTTCTGGTATAGTTACATGATACCGTATTGAATCAACCTAGATATTCCGATGTATGGCAGGAGGGGTGTGTGTGCTTCACACGGGAGAACGAAAATTGGGCGGCCAAAGGACCCGGGTAAGACTGTAGGTGCTGACCTGCTTGTCGGAAATGGGGGGCCATGCGGAACCTGTCCTGGAGGGGGGCTCGACATGCCCGAGGAGCTTGACGTGGGAACGAGGGCATATACATGAGTGTCCGTCGAACGATCAGCCTCTTCTCGCACTGGGCGCGAGGGCGACTTCGTTGCGTTGTGTGCCATTCGCGGAGTCCGGTTGCAACTCGAAGGACGGGCGAGTACAAGACGCGCGGGGGCTGTGCTTGCAGACGCGCTTCATTGCACCTGCGTGTCGACTCCTTTGTTGCCCAGACGGCGCCAACTTCGATGCGTTGCAGCGGCCTTGGTTGAGACTGTAAAACTCCCAAAACCCGATCACCAAGGACTAACTTGCCCCCAGACCCGCACGTTCCGCGTTTGCCTCTGATGCCGATCGTCCACGTTCCTCGCCTCGGGCGGTCGGCGAGTCCGTGCGGTCTGTGTATCGCGACACAACATCCCCGCCTCTTTTTCTTGAGCCCCACGGACGTTGCATGTGTACACAACAGCTCTGAATTCAGTCATGTATTCAGCGGGCAGACGGGGCGGCAGGCATCCGCCGCCAAGTCTCGAGACTCCGTTCGTGAAATGTTCACGACCTCACATCCCGCGCAACGGCGCGGCACGAGAGTCTGTCTACTCGCAGTATCAGCCTCTACATGGTATGCACGCGCTGCAAACCCCGCTCACCTTGGCGCGCGCCGAGGACGTATGTAGTCTGCGCCTCAATCAAATGACAGCGCTGGGACATAGTGTGCCACCCGCGAGTCCAAAGGACAGAGTCGGGATCTAGACGTGATTACGACGGCACAGGCGTTAGCGGCGACCGACAGGACGTTTTGGAGCGCACATCTAGGAGCGCGTCGCAACGGCCTCAGTTCTGAGAGCTACGACGCGCGATCGGCGCGTCTATAGTATAGATAGAGAGGAAAGGTCCAAGGGGGAGACAAGGACGATCAATAATAAGTACGATTAGGAATACTCGACACACGAAAAAGGAGAGCCCGAACTGCCGCCCGCAGGAATTGTTGAATTTGCACGCTTCTCTACCAGTCCACATTGTCGCGCACGTCCCCTCCCTCCCCTTCCAGACAGATGCACGCTTAGTAACTTGAGCCGTTGACCTGCAAGGACGCAAGTCGTGATCGATCAGCATTGTCGAGCCCGCAAAGCGATTACGAGGGAGAGCCAGAACGCACCTTGTCGCGAAGTTGCGAGATGAACTGCTGGTAACTCGGGAGAACGTCCGCACGGTCCTGGATGAGGCAGGACAGGGCCCAGAGGCGCAACGGCGGCTCGCCGTCCTCCTTGACGATGTACAAGTGGGGGTAGTACACCCCACGACGCATCTCGCGCGTCTTTTGGATGACCGCGTTGACGCGCTGCGAGAAGGGGTTGTCGAGCAGTGGCAGCGTAGTCTACCCAGCCACGTCAATATCGCACGCTCAAAAACGGAAGAAAACAAAGGTACGCACCTTGCCACCACGAAGGACCTCGTAGCTGGGAAGGTTGAACACGTCCATGATGAGCTGCGGGACCGCGTCCCTGCCGACCCACAGGAAGATCGTCTGGCCGTCCTCGATGAGGAAGAGACCGTGCCGCTCGAGACGTTCTGAAGTGAGCGGGAGAGGCTGCGGCAAGATGACCCCATGCTCGCCGACAGTGCCGCACTGCGAACAACGCAGATCAGTGACCCCACCAAGCAAAGCGGGAGGCGTCCGGGGAGCGTACCTCTGGCGCCATGTTGTGCAATGAATAGAAGTTCGGGTGAATATACGGGATAAGCAGTTGCGAGGGGAGCGTAGTGAGCAAGCACTGTGCGTACGCCCTGAGATCGGGCGGGATCTGCGCGCTCTGCCTGATACCGACCTATACTACCCCTTAGCATCCATGAACAATGGAGAAAGTGTGGCGCAAAGAACACATACATTCTTGAGGAGACCAAGGGTCAACACTGGCAGCATCTTCAAGTTCTCCGAGATAGCGAGCTGCGCGCTGGCGCCCGCGCCCGCAGCAGTCATGCTCGCCTTGTACGCCTGCAAGACCTCGACCAGCTTATTGAACAGTGCATCACGCGCGTCCTCGAGCCTATGCGTGATCGAGCGCTCTACGGCCTTGTTCGCAAGCAGCGTCGCGATCGCAACTTGGTCCGCTGATGCGAACACGTCCGAGAGGTTGTTCGTGGTCGGGATCGCGGACGTGATGACGCGAATGCGGCGCTCGCCGTAGCACGTCGTGTGCAGCACGGCGGTTTGGAGGACGACGAAGGGCGCGGTGATGTTGTCTTCAATCTGGATCTCGATGGCATAGGAGAGGTCCTGCGGCACGATAGGCATGGCGAGCAGGTCGGTCGAGCGGACGAAGAAGTTGCCGTGGAAGGAGGACATGCGCAGGTTCTTGGACGCGCGCACGCGCATGACAGCCTCGAGCATGATCGGCATCGCGAGGACTTCGCCGAACTCGTGCGCGAACTTCACGGCGTCTTCTGTGCGGGAGGCGTTGAACGCCGGGTAGAAGTATGTCTGGCCGGAGGTGTAGTGCGGCAAGCAAGCTGTTTGACGCGATCACATGAGCGGTGGCGCGATGGGAGGCAAGCCGCGAGAAGACCTACCCAATGTCGCGACGTCCTGGTATGCAGCGCTAAACAAGAACATATCGACGGCGACTTGGGCGCGCGAACATTCGATCGCGAAAGTCTTGTAGAAGGGTGATGCGGTCTGCAACAGGCTGGACTCCTGCGTACGACAAGGATATGATTATGAGAGCTGAACCATCTCCAGACAGCGGCACCAGCGCTACCTTCGATGTGCCGAGGATCTTAGGGTCCTCCCTGTTCTTGACGGCACCAGCACCGTGAGAAGGCAGGCTGGACGAGAGAACGACAATCTTGCCACCGATGTGCGACTACAACCAAGTCGTCAAATGATATTCGTAGCTCAACATGCGCACCATACGCACCATCATCTTGAACGCCGCTTGGAGCGCGGGGCCAAGGGCGCTGCCAATGATGTGGTTCTCCTGGAACATGTCGTTCAAACGACCAAGCAAGTTCTCGATTGCCGCACGGCTCTCGCTCAGGTTCACGAGCAAATCCGTAGGCTTGGGCAGGAACACGTCGTCAATGTCCGAGACGACGAGCATGCTCGAGTCCGTGGAGCCAGCCTATCGAAAATGATCAGCCCACGCGACACGGGATCACAGCGCCCGCCGGAGAACATAGACCTACAGGAAGCGAGAAGAAGTGGAGAGATACATCAAACGCGATGAACCCGACCTTAGTTCTCGAGTCCTCGTCGGGAATACGGTCGAGGTTCTCGAGAATCGTGCGGGTCGCCGTCGCGACCATGCCGGATTGGATCGCGTTGTGCGAGACATCGATGAGGAAGATGTACACGGCCGGCTGGGGCGGGCGGACCATGTACTCCGTCGGCGCGACAAATTCGACCACGCCGTGATTGAGCTCCGCGCGGGCCCAGCGGTCACCAGGCTGATTACGGACCTGGTCCCAGTCGAAGAGCTGCGGCACCTCATTGGACATGGAACACATGCAGCAACGCCAGCTTCACAGAGGATCGAATGGGGGAGTGGATACACGGGATAGAATTGGGTACACTCACCGGTTACCGCCGTCAATAAACTGCACGTATGGGTTGATATACGTCCTACACCTCCTGCAACGAGCGATGACCGTATCCGTGACAAGGGGAACCGGATCATCTCCTTCCTTCAGCGAGCGGTAGGGAGTAATCACCAAGCCAAGAGGAATCTTTGATTTGGTAAGGAGGGAATTAGAGGTCGGGATCGCATTAAGCGTGCACCTCTGGTAAGACGCATCGGCGTTCGCGAAGGGAGAATTAGAGAGGGAAGAGTTGGGCGGGAGAACGATATCCGGAGGAGGACGATGAAGCTCCAGAGGTTCAGGAGGGGCGGTGAGCAGGTTAGTCGTGAACAGGCGGAGGCCCTTCTGGCCCACGTTCATCTGTGAGAACTGGTCGGCGAGCCCAGCGACCCCGGGTGGCTGGTACGCCGGCCCTTGTCCGAATCCAGGCGCATTGATATATTCAGGCTCTTGCGGCGCGCCACCATAGTATGGCGGTTGTGCTGCAGGCTGACCAGCGACTTGCTGCGCCGCGAATTGACCCTCCGCTGCGAGACCAGGAGTGAAGAGTTGAGCAGGCGGAGCGGGTTGGCCAGGAACGGCGGCATACGCGGGCCCTACAGGAGCAGCCGCCAGTGTATCCGCGCCGTAGTACGCTTGGGTCTGGCCTGCTGCATATTGCCGACGTTTTGTGTGGTGCGTACCCTGAGGAGGAGGGGACGCGCTCGGCGCAGGGTTCAAGCCCGGATCTATGCTCTCGGGATCAGGGTAGGGCGGCTCCCATTGTGTTCTACCCGTTGCAGTTTCTAGTATGGCAGTGGTTCACAAAGGCTTGCTATCGGTCATAGAGAAGTGAGCACTCACCGATGAAGAGCCAACGTTGTGCGTTTTGATCCCTGCCGGCTGGGAGTCAATGCGACAAGCCAATCAAGCAGCCAGATCGGAGACTGACCATTCCGCTGCCCATCCAGGGGGCAGTTGCTGAGCAGGGGAGGCCATGTCCAAGCAGGCAAAGAAAGAAGCAGGGAGGTGTGATGATGGTCGAGGATGTGGACAGTGGATACAAGTACGACTCTCTTCGCCGGCGCCGACACGCGACACGTCGTGGGCGCTATGATTGCTGGCCTATGTCGTATGCAGGCGCTTCTGCCGCCGCTCTCTTACTCTACCCTTCCCTCCGATTTATCCTATCCGCCGGTTACGGAGCGCGTACCCTGCGAGGGACTGACGTTGTGTCTCTAGACTGCCTCCAGATATCCTTTGGGAGCTACGGAGGCCTCCAAGAAGCCTAGAATTTGTGCTATCAGCTTGTCGAAGCGCTTATGTTCGACCTCTTCATTTCTCCGACAATCATCCGCGACAGCGCTCCCCTCGCATCCTCCGAAATTGCTGACTCTCCTCAACGTCGACACCTAAGTACGTGGAACAATCGACCGATTCTCTGTGATCATCTCGTGTCTAGCTTGGCACATTGCCAGGAGCCCAGTACTGCGTTCGAGTCAATGTGAGCGCGATTCGTTGCTGCGATAACGCGTGTGCACAAGGAAGACACGGTATAAAGGTGAACACTGACGGCTTGTACATCCTGTACCGTTAAGTTGTCTGCTCTCCATGTCTGCAACGTGAGTAACGCTCCTCGGGTCTTTATTGCTATCTCTTGACATTGAGCCCCATTCAGTTCCGAAATTGAACTGTCTTCTGTCCATGCTCGCGCTCCCCATCTTCCTGAAGAACCAGTGACTCCTGCTGCCACTGTCGAAGATGATGCGAAGAGCCTTCGCAAGAGTCTAGACAATATTGAAGCGGCGGAGACGGAACGTACCCAGTCAGTCGACATTCCGCCCACCGCTGTTCCAGCTTCGACGCCGGCCATGCGTCGGAAGGCCAGGATCCAGTTCGCGACGCTCTGCTGGAGTCTCTTCTTAGCCGGTTGGAATGACGGCACGACAGGTCCCCTTCTCCCCCGAATACAGACTGTATATCACGTGCGCTCCTCACCCTCACAGCAAGTCTGAGAAGTCGGCCTTACCTTGATGCGTTAGGTCAACTTCGCCGTTGTTTCTCTTATCTTCGTATGCAACTGCGTTGTACGTTGCTCTTCTGACCGTCATATCTCAATGGCGTATATCCTGATTTCTCTTCACGTACGCAGGGCTTCCTATCTGGCGCCGCAGCGAACGTCTGGCTCACCGACCGGTTTGGGTTCGGCAAGGTCATGGTGCTAGGTATACAAATCACGCAAATCTTCTCAGTCGCATATAGTACTAATCCTGTCTAGGCTCTCTGGCACAAGTGATTGCGTATACTATAGAGGCTCCTGCGCCACCTTTTCCTGTTTTCGTAATAGCATACGCGATCAACGGCTTTGGGCTCGCACTTCAGGTACGCGTAGGCTTGTGCGCCAGACACGACGTCGAACTAATCAATGTGTCGTGCAGGATGCCGGCGCCAACGGCTTTGTCGCGTCCTTGAAAGAAAACGCCGCGACGAAGATGAGTGTCTTGCACGCGGTCTATGGTAGGATTTCCGAGGTGCCCGAAACCTAACATGCTGAACCGCTTCTACAGGCGTTGGTGCGTTCTGCTCTCCGCTTGTCGCGACCGAGTTCGCGCAGCTGCACCAGTGGTCCTTCCACTTCCTCACGTCACTCGCGGTCGCACTCGCCAACACCATCGCCCTAATCGTGGTTTTCCGTTTCAAAGACCAAGACAGTCCGTCTGACCTCGCAACCAAGTCATGTTCCGCACTGATTCAGGGCTTTGATGCTCGCGCCCCCCTCTCACAGCCGCGCTCGCAGAAATCGGCCAGACTGTAACTCATCAACAAGACGCAGCGCAGGAGAACGACGGGGACAAGTACAGACAAATGTTCAGGCTCAAGTCTCTGCACCTGATGGCAATCTTCATCCTCATCTACGTCGGCGTGGAGGTTACTCTCGGGGGTGAGCCGTCTGCGACCGAGCCTAGCTCTTCTTTCTTGCGCTCACAAGATTGCCTTCTAGGCTGGATCGTCACATACGTGAAAGACTTGCGGGGCGGAGGTCCTTCCGCTGGATACATATCCTCTGGTTTCTTCGGCGGTATAGTCTTGACTTGTTACATGCTCGTTACCTGTCTGACGTATGTGCATGGCAGGCCTGACTCTTGGTCGCGTTGGGCTGCTTTGGGTGAACCAGAAGGTAGGCTCGCCTATGGCCTTTGACCTGCTATCGATGCTGACCGCGTACTACTAAGGTTGGCGAACGCCGCGCCATCTTCCTCTACGCTATCATCGCCATCGGGTAACAGTACCTCCTCCATTCAGAAGATAAGGGTCCGCTGACACCGATTGCCTCGTCTGCAGGTTAGAACTCGTCGTCTGGTTCGTGCCCTCGCTCATCGGCGGCGCCGTCGCCGTCTCCTTCGTTGGACTTCTCCTGGGCCCCATCTACCCGATCGTCATGAACCATGCAGGTCGTGTCCTCCCTCCTCGACTCCTGACCGGGTCGATCGGCTGGATCGCGGGTTTTGGGCAGACGGGCTCGGCGTTCCTGCCTTTCCTCACTGGAGCGCTCGCACAGAAAGCTGGCATCAAGAGCTTGCAGCCGCTGTGAGTTCACGACTGCATGAATGTTTACTCAATTTGGACTGAACAATTATGCGCAGGTTGGTGTCGATGATGAGCTTTATGGTTTTCTTGTGGGCTCTCGTTCCGAACTCGCCTCGTCGCATCGAGTAGAGGTCACCCTCGTAGATCCAAAATTCCCTATCGAGTTCTGCAGTCGCGTATAATGTAGACTGACCCTTTTGGCACCTTCTCATGTTCGCCGCGGATGCTCATATCGTCCGGATGTGCATGGCCGGGCGAACACCGTACTTTATCAGGTGTGACATCATTGCGTCATCGATACGCTCGACGATTGCGTTCGACTCGCGCTTCCTCTCTGACTCTGTCCATCGCCCTCGCCCGCCACTCGTCGAGTCCTTGTACCCTGTCCCTATACAAGCATCTGCAGATCTGCTACAATGTCCGTCCCTCTGACAACGCACCTCGCCTCCCTCTCTACCCCGCGCCCCTACTCCGCCGCGACAGAACACGCATTTCTCACCGCCGCTGGCACAGGCGTCCTCCCCGCGCCGCTCCTCTCCCTCTACCTCTCGCAAGACCGCATCTATGCCGCCCACGCCTACCCGCGCTTCCTCGGCCATTTGCTCACGCACGTCCCGTTCTCATCGCTGCATGCGCCCGACTCGCCCGAGGAGCGCTTCCACTCCGAGGTCGTCGGTGTCCTCGCGGACGCGCTCCAGAACGTACAGCGCGAGGTTGGGCTGTTCGCGGACATCGAGAAGAAGTACACGTTGCCGAGCTTTGCTGGGTGGAGGGAGAGGAAGGCGACAAGGGACTATACTGCGGAGTTGGCGCGAGTAGGCGCGTTTGGAAGCTTCGAAGATGGGCTGGTGTTCCTGTGGGCAATGGAGAGGGTACGCTGTGACCCGGATTCATGTGTTTACATTGCAAGCTTCATTGACTTACTGGTGTGTTTGCTTGGTGTAGGTGTATTTGGATGCATGGACATATGCAAAGTCACTATTGGGCAATGTGCAAGGGGAACCTAGCCCAGCATTCTCCGCTGTGAAGGAGCTTGTTGAGAACTGGACATCACCTGAATTTGTGAAGTTTGTTGATCACCTTGCAGACTTAGTCAACAGGCAGGTACTTCATAAGAAATCTCACCAATAACATCAAACTCATATGATTGTAGATTGCATATTGTGCCTAGATCTGCTGCATTCATTCATGCTGAAGAAATCTGGGCAAGGGTTGTTGAGCTTGAAGAGGCCTTTTGGCCAATTGACAGAGAGGAGTCAACTGTTCTTGCAACTTAAATTGCTAGCTTCTACAGACCTCACATAAGATGTATATGACCTCTTACAGAAATGCTAGACAGAGAGGGATATCTAATCCTACCTTGTACAATGTGTGAAAGATCCAGAGTCCCTGAGTTTTTGATGTGTAAGATAGAAACACATCAGAGTAGGTTATAAGGCAGACATGGTAGCATTGGATAGCATTGGATTCTACAGGACAGCGATGATAGCAGCTAAGGAGTAGAGACAACAGCAAAAGCAAGTCAAGTCAAGCTAGGAGCAGGCTACAAATACAGCAAGGAAACTGAGTTACATGCAAGCAGCTAAAATAATCTCCTCTTCAGTAGACATGTGCTTTAGTAAGCTAACTTGACTCTTACCTATATAGTGCTGCTATGCTTTGCAATTGTGTGCTTCTTGAGTTCACTGTTTCTCTTGTAATCATTATTACATCCAGGTGCTTCACACTTATAAGGCCTAAGTTGCAAGTGGACATCTTTTATATGCTGCTTAAGATTCCACTTAGAAGAGAAGTCTGCAACCATTGCAAGAAGTCTAACGATCATTTTTTCAAAGTATATAGTACAAACCTTCCCAGCACAAGACACATATAAACCTGTTAGGATGTGGTTCACTGAACAGGCTTTCAATAGGACTTGTAACAGTCCTGCTAAAATGTGCTGGGGGAAGAGTTTGACCAGCACTCTGCAAAAACACAAAGATGAGAGTAGCTATAGTTATGCAGGAAACATGCTCACAAAATCAAGTCCATTTGGGACATTGGTTTGGCAGCCTACATCTGTAGGCTGCCAAAGGGGAGGGGCAAGGGGCATCTCAGAGGAGCTGGGGGGAGTGTTGTGGATATGGCCAGTATTGGCCTAAAGATGTTAGGTTATCAGGTCAAAGGAAGCAGAGTCAGTACTGAGAAATAGTAGGCTAGAAGAACTCACCCAGAGATGTTCTGTCTGGTATTCTGTCTGGTGTTCTGTCTGGTGTTCTGTCTGGTGTTCTGTCTGGTGTTCTGTCTGGTGTTCTGTCTGGGGTTCTGTCTGATGTTCTGTCTGGTACTCTGAGGTCATAGCTATCAGTCTATTGTAAGATATCTGGTAGAGCAACTTGAGAGCAGACCTTCAGTGCAATATTGATTTCTGAAAGCTTGATGCAATTCATCGTTCTCGTAGTAAAAGGAAGATGGATAAAGCGAAGGGTCGCCGTAAGCATGCCCGCGGTTGTCCCCGGCCCAGGAATAGGGCTGCGACGCGGTGGGGAAGAAGCCGGAAGGCGGCGGGTATGACATGGCGACCGCGAGGATTGGAAAGTAGCGCCGCTTGCAGCTGTGTGAAGAAGAAAGGGGAAGTGCGAAGGAATTGTGAGGAGCGAACGTCGAGGGAGCCTGAGGGACTACCGAGACTCGATGGGGAAACTTATATGCTCACCTCTTCCGCGAATCCTGCAGATTCGCGGAGGATCGAGTCAGGCAACGCTGCTGCGGCGACCGACCGCCAAGCGCCTCTACTGGGAAAGCGTGTACACCGCTGCAGCACGTACGCGGTCTCCTGACATGACGCATCGTTCGGTGGGATGACATCTGCTTCTAGCTCTGCAGCTCCTGCGGCATCGATGCGAGAAGTTGCCCTGCGTGTTACGAATCGGAAAGAGCCTGGGCAGTGGAATCCCGTCGGAATTTCGGAGACTTGCTGGCGGGGTCGAGATCGCGGCGCGCGGCGGCGAATGCGGAGGAGTGCCTTGCGCTAGGAGACTCAGGTCACACACGAGGGATGGGTATCAAACGGATATACAGCTGGACATTCGGCGGCGAACACGATGGGAAGAGCTGAGTTACAATTGCGCAGCCTCCGAGAGTCGACGCTCACGTCCTTGGAAGACTGGGACACTGCATTGTGTCCTGGCGCTCGTTGATCGGCGGAGAGATGGCTTCATGCGGCGGCGACATTTCACTTGACCATCATCTTGGGAGTGTAGGCCGACCTTCCGTGCGCGAGGGCCGACTGTATTGCGTACGCATTGTGCTGCGGCTGCAGACTGCAGTGCTCCCAACGGCGCACGACAAGGGGCCAGGGCGTGATACTTGGTGCCCACCGATTCGAGTAGGAACTACGTTACAAGGCAATAGCACCCCGAGTCCACATTCCGATGCAGGACCACTATCAAAGATGCTGAGATAGTTATCAGGTCATGCCCTCGTCGTCTGCCTACGCCAGACCCTCGGAACTGCGCGTCTTGTGCTCAAAACGGATCCTCTCCATGCAACGCGCTGTGAATCGGTGGCCTGGTCCACTTCTCGGTGTGATCATGAACAACAGCGGAATCTCGAGTCGCTCTGTCGTGGTGAGCCCAGGCTTGTACCATCCTGCGATGTGGAGCTCCGCTCGGGACGTTTTCGTCGCTGTGAGAAACGCCAGTGCCGTCGGCACGATGGTCTGCAGGGCACGTCGCATAGAAGGTTTGCGCCCATAGACCGGCGGGTCAGTGCCTAGGAGGACGTGGAGGCTAGGAGGACGGAGGGAAAAGAAGTCTGATGACGATCTGCGGCACAGGATTGAGGTCAATAGTCGTTCTGTAGCTTGCACGACGGAATCCGCCAGTGTCAAGCGTACGACCGTATAGTCAAGACGACTCCTAAGGGGATCTATATGCAACTTTCGGTCCTGCAGAAAATGCAGGATGGCCGACGTAAGGAACGAGATAACTGCATGAGTGAAAACAACTACTTACCTTCGCGTTCGTCAAGTGCGCATACTATAACATGCGCAACCCATATAGGCACTGCCTTGAGGGTTTCTTGGGTCGTTCAAATGCTATTGGCTGTAGCCCCGGTAGTCGGACAATGCCTCTTCGGCCTGGTGGCGCATTTGAAGGATGTATAGACCGACGTATCTACCGAGTCAGCAGTAGGCTAGATGCCAGAGTAACCAAGCGTCATGACGTGGGCTGGCCCGTGCAGCAGGTATACGCGGGCAGCGAGAGTAGACCCCGAGCTGACTGTTCGCGAATCTGGGGAAACGCAGGAGCGACTTGGCCCAGCAACGATTCACTTGTGTTCGCACACCCCGCTTCGAAGGATTGAAACGTGGTAGACATACCGGACAATGCCATCACTGGGCCCATCGACAACTCCGCGCTTCACCATATACTCCTAAAAGCAATGCTGAGATTTTCAGGCGGTTCTTCGCTCTCGACTAGGACCACAAATGGATGCGCCAGGATAAGCCGTAGTCAGAGTGGCGTAGCTCGCAACAGCGCTGCTCTCCAGACAGGTTTGGCGGAGAGGGTCAGCGGAGGTTCACTTCGAGGTCACCCAGATCATACCTCTCCACATATTTGATGACAAACTCCACAGTTTGGCCTACTCTGCTGTATGCGCTTACAGCCCTCCGATCGTATATGCTGCTGCTATAGGGCACTGTGAGAGACGGTCGGGACCCCAGCAAGAGACCGCGCAAGCAGACGCGGCTCCCGCCCCGGTTGGCAAACAGGACCAAATAGTTCGCAGACAGCAGACTCAAGGCCTTCTGGAACAGACGTCCCCTTTATGTACTTTGCTGCACCGTCTTTGAAAGCCCAGATACATACATACAAGTCTAGAGCGGCACCAGGCTGCTGAGTCCCAACGAATGCCTAGGCACGAGGCCAGGTTGCTCCAGCTTAGTGCCGCACGTACGCTAACGTCTCCTGTCCCAAACGCCCTCACAGCATCATGCCCCATAGCCACCCGTTTCTCCACAGCGACAGGGCAGCATTTTCCCGCAAGACTCCTGTTGACGATATGACGACGTTAGAGCTGTGGGCGTCTACGGATCAAAATGTTCCTCTCGCAACGTCATCAGACGAGAGGAGCTGTGGATATTCCTACTCAGTATGCAGATTGCGTAGCCTTACTCCACACAGCTCGCGCTGTATATATATGCGGCCGTCATGAGCGATACACTACACACGACTTCGTCTGCATTTTACGACCCTAACGATATCCATCTACTCATCGAATTCTCATATCTACTCGTAATCCATCATGCCGCTCTTTGGAAAGCACAAGGTGAGCACCGCAGTGTGTACAATGCGGTCAGGGAGAGACTTGCTCACCGTTCGTCCTCACGTAGCACCAAGACAAGGCCGCGGCTCGTGAAGCCCGTCACGAACCCCAGCAGGGCACGAATCTCGCCGGTGACCAGCCAACGAATGCCCCTGGTCAGAACTACGGCACAAACTCCGCCCACCATGGGGTCCATCCCCAAGGCCAGCAAGGGTTTGATTCTGTTCGCCAGGGCGCGAACCCCGGCATGACCGGCGCTGGCCAGAACCAGCCCGTCTCGGGCAACCAAGCAGGCATCGGTGCCGGCGTGAATGCGTCCGGCAACGGTGTCCCTCCCGCCTCGCATATCAACACGTCCAACCAGACTTCCGGCAGGGGCACGCACCGTCTCGAGGGTAAGGCCGAGAAGGCGGTGGGCTCGCTCGTCGGCAGCCAGGCGCTCAAGGAGCGTGGCTTCCAGAAGGAGCAGGAGGCGGGCGCGTTCAAGACGCAGAGCGCGGAACTCGCGGAGGCGGAGCGCCTCGAGAAGGAGGCCCTCATGCGCCGTGAGCGTGCTGTTGCACATGGTGAGTGTGGCTTCCTGTGTTCGGAGAAGGCAGTGGAGTGGCTTACAACGCGCGACTCATCATTAGGTGCGCACCCCGCCAACATGCACCTCGGCGGCCTGCAGAACGCGAACACCTTGTCTGACGTCACTGGTAACACCGGTAGTGGAGGTACCGATGTCCAGTACGGCTCTGGCGGGTACTAAGTCCTCGTCCAGTACTTCATCCATGATGTAGCATATCCCGGATGTACATTTGTATCATATGCATAAACGCTCAATGCGCTGTCTTATATGGATACCCTATGAACGCTACTTCATCGCGAGCAGAAGGCGATGCGAAAACACGGGTGCAAGACGTGGATCGCGCCGAAGATTAGCTGAGAAGACACCAGTCCATGATGCGTTAGTCGCTGGCTGTGCCCTCGCCTGTCCTACATGCACGGATCGCTGAGTGGAGCCTAACCAAATAGTCTTTACTTCCCGGACATTCACGCCGCCACATCGCCGGGGAGAAAGCCCACACGGCGCATATCCTTGATGGCAAGTCTCAGTCGTCGGACCTTTCTCACCACGTCCGAGGTACGCCCCAATCACTTCAACCCCTCGGTCAAGCGCGAGATGTTGAACCAATTGCGCAGATCCAGACCGCACACTTCGTGGAACCCACCCAGCTCTCCAGACTTCCAGCTCGTGCAAATCAACGACAACCTCGTGAAGTCCTGGCTCGTCTCCTTCCTCACGTCTGGGATCAAGAAACGGGCCCCCTAGCAGTTGTGGCCCACGTACACAACCTCTGCCAATTGGCAGAATATGGTGTGCGTTCTTTCGGTCCGTCTCATGCCCCGTCGTCCTGCAGCCGGCTTCTGTTATAGAAACACAGGTACCTCCGCGAGCCGTTGGGGTTACGAAAAAGCACGTCGGGTACGTCTACCTCATCGACTCGAACAAAAAGATCCGCTGGGCGGCCTGCGAGGACCCAAGTCGGAGGAGGCTGCCGCGCTGACAACATGCACACACGTTCCCCTGGACAGGCTCGCGAAGCAACTTGAACGAGTCTCTCGCTGCGCCGGAGTTGTCACCCGTGGAGCAACAGCCGTAATGGCCAATCACCGCTATGTCGCTTCCCATACGACATGCTCTCCGCCTTTCCCCCCGCTTGTATCGTTGTCCGGGTGGCCTTCGAGCTGAGCTTGGCGAAGTTCCCATACAGCCGGAGTTCAGATAAGTATGAATCACTTAATGTATGACTTCTCTGCTTCGTCCCTCGTCACGGAACGCTAAGCTGGGCCTGGGAGGTATGTCCGTTGGATTTGAGCACCGAGCGAGAGCATGCAGTAGACAGCATTTGTCGCGTAAGATGCATTCCTGCCAGGCGCCATACTTTTTGAACAAGCTTGCTGGGCTGTAGCACACATCGCATGATATCTCGAGTCGATCGTAAGGGTTGTCAAGGAAAAGTAGCATGCCCCCTGCGCAAGACATCGAGTTTCCGTGGATTGCCTATACAGGAACGGGACAAGTCGCGAGAACGCGCTCGCAATATTGTGATATAGACGACCTCGAAAACAACTATGGCGGCGTCCGGCATAATAAGCTTGTCAAACAACGGTCGCACCATCATTGGTACCGCCTGCGCTTGTGCTAGGTCGGTGGAGGGCTTCACACGTAGCTCAATGGCGAGGCAGGTAAGTCGGTAAGTTGCCCCATCGTGACCGATTTGTGCCGACTGAGCGGTGCCGACGTAATCTTGGGCTCGGATGCGTGTAGTTCCGGGAGGTCTTTGCGGGCAGGGGTCTTAATATCGTAGTACAGGCGGAAGTAGCGCGCACGACTCGCCTTCGAGTCCGGCGATTATGCACAACGCAGCAGGGACATCCCGAACTAGCTTTACCAACTTCTCATTCACGCTGTGCAACAAGAGAACAATGCGCTTGCTGAGCTCCTGCATGGTGAGAATTGGCGTGGTGGAGCCATTGAGCACGCTTCGCCACAAATACACCAGCAGCTAGGAACATACCGGTGTGGGAAGTTCTCCCAGGATATGCAGCTGCGTTAGATTAGAGGTGTCGTCTGGTCCGTTCTGAAATGTACAAGGCCATTGAGGGACCCAGGGCTTCTTGCAGCGCACATCCACCAATTGCAGGGTACGAAGCTCGGGGAAGCCGCAACAGAACACCACAAGAGATTGGGACTCAGGAAGATCAGTGACTGGAGGATGAGTCTGTCCACTATCACCCGGGCGTCGAATGTTTTGAGGTTAGCAAGCTTCAGCAGCAGCGGCCAAGTGGGGGTTTTGTTCCATGCTGGGACAGTGAGAAAGCGAAGGAACAGTGAATGTTCCGGAGGTTAGCGGAGAAGTAACCCCTCGAGTACATCTGAGAAGCTGTCCACCGATTCCGTTCTGTTGGGATCTTGTGGGATGAAGGAGCGTAGGACACGAGCATCTGTATTTGACGGGATCGGGGTTGACGTTAGACTATCGCAGGAGGAGCTGGCTTGTCCCACAACGCTGACGATCAAGGTCGGCGAGGCGGTGAGTGACTCGGATAGCATATCAACAGATAATCAATGAAGAAGCGAGAAAGTACAGTCGGAAGTGGGCAGCAGCAGGTATAGTGTAGAGAGTGAACGCATTTGGAGGGAAAGGACGCCCCGCACCCGGCTGATGATGTAGAATGGTGGCGAGGATTGACGGCGACTGAGGTACAGTGGTCTCCCTCTACCTTTCGGCATTGGTTGAGGACTATATGGCTCGGTGTTGTTTAGTAAGTGTTGCGTTGGAGAAGATATGTTCGACTTCGAACTGCCACAAGATCGAGCGCTTATAAGCAGGAAGACACGACGGACTAATTATCGGCGCACACTCACTAGAACAATATCATAGAGCCACAGATCGTCCTGATGCAGATAGACATGGATGAGAATTGGAATTGTAGACATGGTCTCCCTCTTGACGCACATTAGAAATGCCAGTCTCTGCGCGTGCTGAGTAACATTCCGTCATACGTGCTTGTATCACTGCTGGTGATTGGTTGACTGACTTACCTATGCATCCTGCTTGTCGCAACCTCAAGTATCCCTTTTGAAAGCAACATTGGGTAGCATTCTCCTATATGCGTCTTCCACCATGGAAGCGTCTCCTCAGTGCTACGCACGTCCAAACAGATTGTCCGTAGGTGAGGGAATCTCTGTAGTAGAGTGATCTCCATGAACATCTGGATTTTCCGCAGCTCCTCGAGGTACAGGAGAGGCTCTGTTGCAACCTCCATAGCATCAAAGGTGAGAACGAGCCTGTGCATATTGCCTGCCTCGATACGGAGGAGGAAATGCGGGAATTCGGCTATGTGCGACGAAGACGGCGCAGGTAATGAGCGCCGGCGGTGGGCGCGACAACCTATGATCAAATGCACCGTGGAGAGGGCGGGTAAGTAGTACACGTCTGCTTCTCCGTTCTCTGTAGAGTGTCATCAGGATGAATGAGGGCAAAAGAGCGGCAAGCGCCATACTTTGATGCGTTTTGATGAGGGCACCAGTCATCGGGAGATTAAGCGTCAATATCTGAAGCGTGCTGCTGACCGCGCGTATGATCTGGTCGTGACCAAGCATATTGAATCCTCCTTCTACTACGTTCTGATAGGACGCTTCATTACATCGGGACTTCCAAGTTTGCTAGAGGGTGCTTACCGGTCGTTCGTTTCCCCTGAATGCCAGTCCCAAATCGATGAGCTTAGTGGGGACAACATGCAGCATGTTGGGCCGTCGAAAGATGATATCGCGCTCCTTGTCCGCTACCCAGAGTACCCGATACATGTCCAATGTAGTCAGGTTTGGGAACGGTCTGAGAAGGTAGTCCAGTTCCCAAGTATCGTGCAAAGGGATGACCTTGAGTTGTGATCGTATCAAGACGAAGACGAGCGTTTCTGAAGTGAGAATGGATGAACATGCGGTTGATGTTATCTGGCAAGCGAACCGTAACAGTCTGCAAGCGAGGTAAATGCTTTGCTACGGCACAATAGAATACTTCCACGACAGCTGCATAGCGTGGGTACGGCCTCCGCGACAACTCGACTTCTTCGACCAATGTTGCTATGTGGGGCGCGGAGATGATGAAGCGACAAAAAGCATACAAGTCTGGGAGTTCCGCTCGGTCAGAGAACTCCTTTCTACGGAAGGCGTGAGCGCGACATCTCGGATGCCATGCATGGCAGACGAGTGAACATCGTATGTATGTGGGTTTGGCCCGGCAGGGGATGACGTCAGCGCCGATGAGGTCGATGATGCGTTCATAGATCTCGAAGGGAAAGATCGAAGCCATCGACGAACTCCTCAGGGCGGTCAGTACGGTTGGCGGCGTCGAGAGGCTGACGTGGACCCTTGCCAAGCTGGCGCGGCTGATGAGTAGTAGTCAGGTCAGCAACCGGCCACGCAACGTTTGTGGGAATAGTTGACTCAATGCTCAGAGGAAATCAAAGCGCACCCTGCCATGAGCATATGCATGGCTCGGCGCACTAGAGGTTATTGGACTATGAGTATAGAAAAGCATCAGTAGATGGAGGTCTGAATCGTAGGGAACGTAAGTTTCTGCGTCCAGCGGCCAGCCAAGTAACCGGGGAGCGAAGACGTTGAAACTCCTAATCTCCCTCAATACAGCGTGTGCTCGATGCTGGTACAGTGGTAAGTAACCTGCGGCGCAGATAAGACACATATTTTCGACATCTGATTGTACTTCCAGGTTGAATCCGACAAACATCAAGAGCTACTTCCTAAGGTAAACGATCGCTTCAGGGAACTAGTCGATTCGAATAACGCCGAAGAGAGAACGTCTATATATGCCGCTGTCAATATGGTCCCATGAACTCAGTTTTGCATCCTCCCAGTTAGCAGGACCGCATCGTGAACTATTATCTGTTTATCAAGTACTCATAAGCTACTGAATCGTTTAGTCCCTTCTACATCGTTGAATCGTTATGCAATCGCGCGAACGCGCTCTCCTCATTCTCTAGCAGTTGTGAAGGTTTCCCGATCTCGACGACCCTCCCCGCATCTAAAACTGCAACTTGATCGTAATCCACGATCGTGCCGATGCGGTGAGCCACGGTCACAACAGTGTATTCCTTGAAGGCAGCACGGATTGTTTCCTGTACCGCCTTATCCGTCTCCACATCCAAGTTCCCAGTCGCCTCGTCCAGCAGAACGATCTTATTCTTTCGCAGTAGCGCGCGAGCGAGCGCGAGAAGTTGCGTCTGTCCCTTTGACAGCTCGTTGCCACGAGCACTCAGGGATTGATCGAGTTTTTCGTCGAAACCTCCAATGACGTCCTTGAGCTAGGTGAAGGTGAGTCGCACAGCCGAGACTTCATCACAGAATTGACATACCTGAGCAGCCTCAATGGCTTCCCAGATCTCTGCGTCGGACTTGTCGCCGGAGATGTCCACATTTTCGCGTATGGTCCCATCAATGATGAGAGGCTCTTGAGGCACCACAGTGATGTTTCGCCGCAGAGTTCGATGAGAAACATCGGCGGTGTCAACCATATCGACTAACAAACCTCGTTAGGAAGCGAGGCTTTCGGGAGGGTCAAACACACTTACTCGTGATCTTGCCACGGACGTGCAAGGCCCGCAGAATAGCGAGCAGCATCGTACTATCACACTATGGTTCAGCTTAAGCCAAGACAGTGTGGAAAAGACAGCTCACCTCTTGCCAGATCCAGTGCGCCCACAAAGTCCAACATTACTGCCGCCCGCCATGGTCATCGTGATACCCTTCAGTGTAGGCTCTGTCTGCCCTTCGTAACTTGCAATCACGTTGTCGAATTCGATCGTGCCGTGCGACGGCCACAACTTGTCCGTGTCCACATTACCAGAGGACGCGTGATCATCCTCTTCAGGCGCCAGCTTGGTATACTCAAGATTACGCTCGATTGCGACGGCAGCGATCTCCAGTTGCGTCCAAGAGGTGAGCACAAGACTGATGATATCCTGAAGCGAGACGGCCTGTGACAAACCGACTGCGAAGAGTCCAGCAGAGGTGCTCGATCGGTTGCCGACAGCGATGAGGACAAAACAGGTGTTGATGACGGCAGTCATAACGCCAATGTTCGTCGCGAGCCAGAGACGAGAGACATTCGTCAAATAGAAGGGCATCTGGGATCGCGCGAGGAGTGCGGAGTTGGCAGCGGCGTATGGTACACCCTTCCCAGCCGCACGGATGGTAAGTAGACCGTTGAGCTCGACCGTCTCTGAGAAGAGCGTGTACAGGGGGCCTTTGCTAGACAAGTCAAGTCTGCGAAGCTGACGCGAGGTTGCCTAAGATATGGTCAGTAAAAGGTGTCTGCGCAAGAGCATGCGGGGATCCTACCAAGTAGAACTTCTGGATGACGTAGACAAGGACGAGCATGAAAGCGACGACTATGGCCAAATAGGGAACGGAGACGATCATCAGGACTGCGCTACCGATCATGCGCGTGGACTCGTAGCCGAAGTCATGCATCGCGAGCGGGAACTCGAAATCGACGATAAAGACATCCTGGCTGAACCGGCTAATGACCTTTCCGATGGAGGTGCTGCCAAAGAACGACACGGGAGTAGCCATCACGGCCTTGAATGCGTTCGCATGTAGCGCTGTCGACGCTCTAGGCACAAGGCTCATGATGAAGAAGTAGAACACAGTCGTGAAGGCGATACTGTACGCAACCTCGACTGCGGCATATCCGCCGAGGTAACGACCAAGGATAGAAGACGCTGAACCTGAGCCGTGATCGTTTGCTGCAGCCCACAATTGGAGGTAAACGGGGGTGACGATCTGAATCCCGACGGTTACAACGAGAAATGTGGCGTATATGAGCATCGAAGGGTATCCGGCGCCAGCAAAGTAGTGGAGATATGCAGCGAAGCCGTTCGACCCGTGCTGGATCGCGTCGATCTCCTCTTGCTCAGCCTCAGCCTTGTCGACGTCTTCCAGCGAGTCGTCGAAATTGGTGACCTGCTGAACGGCCTCCATGACACCGGAAGAGGTCTGGACGTGTTCCTTGACAAGAGCACTGGTTGGGCCATCGGCGCTCAGCAAACGGGCATAGCTATCTTGCTCGATGACCCGATTATCGCCGAGCATGACAATCCAGTCCATGTGTTGCAGATGCGACACTGATAATATGGTCAGACCAAAGCAGGCGACTCGATGATAAGTAACGTACCCTTGTTGGTCGTCATGACCACTGTACGATCCTTGAGAAGACCGGATGCCCCAAAGAGAGCTTCAAAGACATGGGCCGACGTGGTACCATCGAGAGCAGCGAAGACGTCATCCAGCAGCACGACAGTACTACGAGAGTAGACCGCACGCGCGAGAGCGATGCGGGCCTTCTGACCACCGCTTAAACCCTTGGCAAGTCTACTGTCCAGGTTGTTCGCACCGAAGTCTATGTCAAGAGCGCATGCATGGACGACGGTGTTGAACCAAGCACGATCCATGGAGGACGAAAACAGGATGTTCTGCTCGATGGACAAACTTGTACGCAGCCATGGAACCTGGGAGCAGAAGGCGATTTCGTTGCGAATCGGAGTGCGCGAAATACTACCGAACGCTGTCGTTTCGCCTAGGAGAGACGCGAGAAGGGTGGTCTTCCCTGTCCCGACACGACCGACGACTGCGGTGAACTTGCCGGAAGGTATCTGGAGGTCGATGCTCTCCAGCACCTTCTTCTCACCCCATCCAAAGGTGCCTCGCAGCTCGAGCGTGCCGGTAGCGAAACCGAGCTCGTTGGGTTTTTCATCGGCGGGCGAGTCCGACTTGTCTGTGATGCTCAAGTCGACGGCGTGGGGATCCTTGCGTTCGGGGGCATTCAGGAATGACTGAATGCGCTTGAGACTGCCGTACGCCGCCAGGACAGTACCGTAATTCTGTCCTACGGAGAAGAGTGGTGCCGCAATGATCGTGAGCACGGTGTACGACGTGAATAAACGCGCAGTCGTAAGGGAACCGGAGCCCGACAGGAAGGAGACGATGGCATAGGCGCTGTGAACAAACGTACAGACAAGATCAAATACCCGCCGGAACATGGAAGTTAGACTAAGTTTGGACTGACCCGAGTGTGAAGAGACTGAGCATGTTCATTGCGGTGTTCGTGACACAAACGACCACGGCAAAGTCCGTCCAGAAGCGCTTCATGGCCGCGAGCTCTGTTCGGCGCACATCCTCCACCTTGCGGACCAACTCGGGCTCGTATGCAGATAACTTCACCCCAGTGATCTGATGCAGGATGCTTGATATGAGGCGAACTCGCTTGTCGGTGACGCCCGACCATGCATCCTGGAGATCGTCGATGTGACGAGAGAGAAGAGGGGTAGCAATCATGCAGATTGCCGTCACGATGACTGCGGCAACAAAAGAAGTGCCGATCTGGGTCCACAGAATGTATAGGCCGATGGCGATGACAACCAGTGACGACCATAACTCTGCGGGCCGAGTCGTCAATTAGTTGAGGAATGACGAGCACGGGGCGCCAACTTACGGTGAAGCGGGTCAATGGCGAGAGTAATACGTTCGATGTCGACACTGAGCGGCATGTCGTGATCAGCAATTCAAAGGGTACCATCGCTGAGTAAAATCAGACAGACCTCATGAGGTTGGACGCATCTCCGCCGGCAGCGTCTGCAAGAGAGTCCGCCGACAGTACGAGAGTCTTCCGATAGATGGCTTCGACAAGCGCAGCACGAATGTACGCCCCGCCCCTGTAAACGTAATAGAAATATTGGCCAGTGGCGCCCGCCAGCCCGAGAAAGACGATAGCAAACGCCCCGGCTAGCGCCCAACCCCACTGCGCCGGATCGGGAGTCTCGCCGCTGGTGGTATATGACTGAAGAAAATTGATGATCGCATTGACCATAAGGGGTTCGACGGCTTGCGCTAGCGAGCGGATAGCTGCCGGGACTACTGGTCCGAGGAATGTCGGGTAGAATGTCAGAGCGAGCACGCGCACTAGAGAAGCGTTGTCGCCATGCGTGGTCCTGAGCGACAATGCAGCGGTAGAACATGGGGTAAACAAGCTTCCGTTAGCGTCTGCGCCACATACCCGGAAGGACGTGCATGTGCTCACCTCTCAGCCTTCCAATAGACTTCAAAGCGCGCGTACAATTCCGTCGTGTCCATGTCGGGGTCCAGGCTGGGTAATTGCTCGATCTCGAGGTTCCCATGGCGCCCTTTCCACATGAGTGGGAGTGCCCAAGTTACGAAAATGTGAGAGAGGAATCCGGCGTTTTCAAGCGCGCCATCATTTTTCGCAAAGAGAGACGGGAACGACAAGACGACGAGAGAGGCAAACCGAGTAGCGTAGTGAGCCAGGAAAGATGCGAAGAACAACTCCGATGTCGCAGCGGATCCGGCAATCGCGAACGTGCGGACTCGCGATGTGTCGAGAATGAGCGTTAGAAGTAGATAGAGCGACGCCACGAACAAGATGTATCTTGAGCGTCCGAAGATCGGAATCAAGAGAATGAGAACCAGCTAGTACTGATGTTAGCCTTCATATCTCCCCAAAGGGTCAAAATTGCACTGGTAATGCTCAACTCACTGCAGACACGAGGTCAAGTGCCAACGCAGCTGTGACGAGAGCGTTCGCCTTGTGCGGAAGTTCCGCGGACGCAGTCTTCCACCCGCCGATACTCAAGGCGCCGGTAGTGAGCAGGAGAAAGAATGGAATGAAAACGGGAATATGTCTTCTAGAAAGGGAGAGTCTAGGTCGCGTCTGCACGGCGAAAATGATCGCCGTCAAGAGAAACAGGCCATTGGGAAGGATTGTGAGCACACTAGGCAAACGCGAATTCGTCAGTAAGGTGAGCATCCTCGGTTCTCAATACGAACAGCTGCTACTCTGAGCTAGCGATGCAAGGACACTACGGCGTGACTGGCAAGGAATCTGATTTACGTACCCGTTCTCGAAAACGACCGTAAAGTCAAAATTCCGACAAGAAGACTGTGGGCCCTACGATCGTGTAGAAAGTGTCAGATGCACGTATGCACCAAGGCACAAGAGCGATTAGTACTCACAAAGGCACCATCCCCCTCGCAAAACGACATGGCAGAACAGAGTCAAGCCTACAGACGCTGAGTGCGGCAGCCGTAGAAGAGATGCTCGACTGCGAGAATTTCCCAGTCAATACGATGATGAACCGTTGTATCGGTGTTGAGATGCAGACCTCCTTATTACGTTCAATCCGTCGCTGTTGAGCCGGCAGGGACGGTCAAGGCGAGGCGTTTCCCGTCCCCCAGGAATAGACGACGTGAAGAGCGAGATGATGGACGGTCCGCTCCTCGGATGCAGTGCTTGGGAAGCCCGAACACGCAATTCGCACCCAGCAAAGTTCTTCGACATATGCGAATCTGAAAATATGTTGAGTTGCGGCCTCTGCAGTAGATCCGAGGTAGCGTTCGGTGACACACCGATGGATAAATTTTGAGATGGAAACGCGCATCAACAAGAGACGCGCATGGAGTACGCACCACCGAAATTGAATTGGATACAGTAGCGGCGCAGGACATCATGGTCCCTGGCCAACATCCTCGTACACGAACCTACTGCCGTTGCCATTGCTCATATCACGGTGATTCGTCGAATTCCGGAGCCGGGCGTCAGCATGAGGGGAATCATCGATCAGCGCTGATGCTGACATGCGGAGGCAGAACTGACTTCGAGTGGCGGTGTCGCATGAGGGACGCGACGTGCTCAATCGCACAGGCTGCTTTCGGCCATCCGCCTTGATCGCTGATTTATCAGACGTTACGCCCTCTCCACCGCCCGCGGAGTTACTCGGCGAGTGTCTGAACGCCCGAGTCGGTGAAGGGCTAACGCTCCATTACCTTCATGGGCTAGTCCTGAGCCCAGTGGTAACTATTCTGTGCTAATCACACGCTTTGTTACAGTGAATCATTGTATAGAGCGACAATACATGCGACCTCTGTTGTGCGCAGCTGCACACTTTTATGTAAACTAGTACAATGAGAGAACGTTCAGGTACGCAGTACAAAATCGTTGGAAGCAATCGCTTCAAATAGGACAGACCGCAGCGACCATGGGCTCAATGTCGCATATGCTTCAGATAGACGATGTCAACAATGATGCAACATAAGAAAGATCAGCGTCGTGCGTATCACGTCTCACGCAGAAGATCACCCACATGACACTGCGCTCGCTCGGCTCTGGACCGACGACTTCTTGCATAACGGGTCCCTGCGATGTACATTATTCGCGTTAGCACTTGAAAACTCATGCAACGGGTACCGCTCCTGGGCAAGAACAAGCATCAGTGTCACTCACAGCATAGTGCGAGCACTTCGCATCATACGCCGCCCAGCTGTCCAGGGGTGACTCCAGGTAGAACCTGGTTCCGAGCGGAGATGTCAAAGCTTATTCAGGATACGGCATTGACGTTACGTAGCGCTTACCGAGCTAGAACGTCCTCCGAAGGAACCTCGCTGGGCTGGAGGCCAGCGTAGCGCCCACCCTTGCCGGCTATCACGTTCTCGCCGCCTATGGCGTTACGTCGCTGAACCAGGTGTACGAACGAAAACTTATGCCCGTCCTGATGAAGAGAGTTGGGCGTTGTCTTCGAAACCGGATGTTCTTGCGTCGGCTACACAAAATAAGGATCTATGAGCACGCTGTCCCGAACCGACGGATGCGAGCCGTCCGCTCCGGCTTGTGCAGATGGCAGCAAGTTTGAGGTGAAGACCGGGAGGGACTTGATGGCAACTGGACGACAAAAACTTACCGCAGTCTTGATGAAGTGCACTCCAACGATGATCGGGTGCCTGAGCTCGTCCACAGACCAGTCGCAAAGGGCAACGTCGGTGAGAATGAGCTTTTCCAGGAGCTCGCTACGCATGCTGTCGGGAATGGAGGGCATGGCGCGGCGCTCGGACTCATGCTCCGGGTTGAACACACCTGTGACGCAACAGTCAGCGCAATGTCCGCAATAGTCGATTTCAAAATACGTGAATAAGGCGGTGAGAGATCAAACAGAGGTCCGAAGAAATGAGCGCCGATGCGTCAGGTAAAGTCATTCGGTGAAAAATGACGAAATTGTTCCAGGACAACTGTGGAGTGCGATCGACATACCCTGATTGTAGTACGTGATATCCCGGCCTTCCTGAGCGTGACCGGGAGCCCAGTACACACGCGGCTTGTCCTCGAAAGGAAGGACAAATGCCCGAGAATATTGCCGGAACCGCGCAGTGGTTGCGGGGGCATGTGGGTCGGAGGGCAGGGTATCGAAGTGAGCCTGAACTGAAGAGAGGAACTGTGCGACCTGGTTGGGGTTAGCGAAGGAGGGATCAGCCGTAGGGTTGAACCGAATGTAGTCCGCGTTGTCCAGCGGAGGATAATTTTGGCGATAGGAGAGAAGAGGGTTAGTGAACTTCAGATTGCGCCTGACGGTGATAGGAGGCGGCGTCAAGCGTGATGAAGGGGTCTGAAGGTCGGAGGTGACAGCAGCGAGCGATCGGCGCGGCACTCTGGTGAGTGTGGCGGCGCGGAAAGCTGGGCGGGAAGCGGCAAAAAGACGGTGCATCCTGCAGATGGGCAACACATGTCAACTACACGATGCTATGACTGCGACATTGAAGAAAAAACTGACATCGTTCGCGCTGAGTAGAGCGAGGTAAACTTGGAGTTGGGTCGGACGGAGACTTAAGAGTGCAATTGTGCGTGCTCTGGCGAACGCGCCTGAAGCGAACTTATATAACGTCGACATGTCATTCGTATGTACGTTAACCTGTGCAGTTGTCAGTATGAGACAAATCAGTAACTTTCTGGGTTCAGCATGCGAGCCTACCGCGCACTGGCAACACTCTAGTGTGAAGAATCAACTTGCTGTGACCATGTGTGACGAGCGCCGACGGACAATGCGGTGACGATGTAGGGTCAGCCTCCCTGAGTCACTTTCTTGCCGGACAATGTCTTCCCCCGTGTAGCTGCGAGAGTCGTATTGCATCAGTGAGTAACTGAACGGTGTTGCATCAACGCATCAGGGTTGCCGAGTACGAATAAGGAGCATAAGCGCAAGGTCTGCGGGGCAAAAAATTGAAAAGTACGCGACACTGGCATGATTTCGCGACATCATTCAACTCCGTCGGGATGCGACTCGGCAGGTCTCGTCCTCATATTTTGAAGTCTAGGTATACCATCCCGGCGAGACGATGCAACACAAGACCCGATGACGTGGGATGCCGTAGAAGAAAGCAAATTGGGTGCATGGAAGCAAATTTAGCGAGGACTATCCGACATCTTCGAGACTGTAGACAATGACGCTGAGCAGAACAGCGTGGAGCCAAAGCGGCCAGTGTTCGTTGGCGTTACAACCTGCAACACGAGAGGCTTTGATTGCTCCCGGACCAAAACGGGGACAGGGAAATGACTTGGGAATGGACCCGAGCGGGTTGACGCTCTCAGGTTCTATCCGGCTCTTATCTCCGGTCCTGGCCCCTCACTGCCAGCCTCTTTCACAGCGGATTGCGGGGTGTCGGATGTATACAAGCTCGCAGACGACGTTGATGGCGCGCAGAGGGTTGGCGCAGGGGGCCCCGCAAGCGCGCGCGTGAAAGAGGCTGCCGGCGGAGGCAAGACCCGGACAGGACCCGAAAACGTCAACCCCTCGGGTCTAGGACATTGGCCAATGCCTCTCGTGGCAAGGTTGAGGGGACCTCCGACAGGAATCGGGGCCCAGGGTCCAGGAACGTTGCTGCGCTGGGAAACGGTGCAAGATGAGCTTCTTGTTGTTTGTTTGTAGCTCTAGTGAGACGTTACCACACTGTCGTGATATCCAGAAGGGGAGCTGCGAACAGGGTGATGGGCACAACGGCGTGGATGCGGCCGCTAGAGCAGACGCATGGAACAGGGTCAAGACGAAAATAGAGTGCCAGGGCCGCTGAGCAGCGTATTGTCTATCGGCCGTCGCCCGTTCATCCGCCAGCTCGAAGGGACGTTCGTGAGCTGTAAACGGCAAAGAAGACAGGTAAGTAGCCACCGGTGTTGCGGCGGTTCGTGGCAAGCTGGTTCAACGGTTACCCGGGTAACGGTAACGGGTGCGCTTCACGCTGGGGAGGCCTCATAGACGCCCGCAATGAGAAGGATCGCGCAAAGCCTTTGCTGAATCGTCCAACTTTGGCGCGAACCGCCATGTGTCATTTTGGCCTCCACAGCAACTCTTCACCTGGGCCCATCAGCGGTGGCCATCAGCGGGTAAAGAGGGCAAACGATAATCACCTCATGGGATCGTGGGTCGGCGCCGATGCTATCGGTAAGCCGTCGAGAAGGGACTCTGATTCAGGGGTACGCGCTTTGGAGATCCAGCGTTTCCGCATGACTTTGCTCAATTCTTGCATTTCGTACAGCATCGATGACCCGCCACCGGTTGCACGGGTCAATTCCCACCTGTAAGGATAGTTTGTCAATTTCGGGAGGTGTGACTAACAAGAGGTGTGGGGATGCCAGATTGATGTTATAGGTTGGCATTGGGGTCCAGCCGCCCCTCCACATCGTTCTGGAGGGGTCTACCATGTCCTTGCATCTTGCCGAGGACATTGCTTTCGTACGCTTGCTCGCTGCCTCCGCCGTCGTAGCAGCCCAGTCCTATGCCTATCGTTGGACTTCCTCTGATGAGCCCTCTCCCGTTGTTCTCCAGGTCGTCGATATCCGTCGCCGCCAGCTCGCCCACTACAATTGTTACACGCTCTCTGTTCCTTCGGACCTCACCGTTTCCCAACTGCTTGATGTAGCTCGCCGTACTGAAGCCACTGCAACTGAGGCCCTTGCCAAGGATGCCCTCACCCTCTTCACTTTCGACAATGAGGCCGACGTAGATCGCTACTTCTATTTCCAAATATCCCCTCCACCCCGCAGCGTCGTGGCCATCGTTTCATCCAACGACGACGCCAGGTTCTCCGCATTGCCCGGGAACTACAGCTGTGATTCATGGCTGCATCATCGTCTATCTCTGGTTTTCGCAAGCATCGCTACTTCTTCCTCCTCAGCCCTCCCTCTCTTTTCCATTCCCTGTCTCCCGGAGGACGAGAAGACGGAGCTCCTGAAGCTAAGCCAGAACAACGATCTTCCCTCCGAGGTCACCTTTCCCTGCATCCATCATTACTTCGAAGACATCGCTCGAACTTCTCCACACCTTCCGGCGCTCTGCTTCCACGAACATAGCGGTGAAATCACCACGGTCTCATACGGGGATATGAACAAGCGTTGCGGTGCCCTCGCCGGGTATCTAGCGTCGTCCCACGGCGTCGGCCCTGGAATCATTGTCCCGATCTTCTTCGCTCGCGGGATCGACATGCTTATCGCAATCTACGCTGTGGTGAGTTGGGATCTCGGTCTTTGGATGATCTTCTCCGGCTTCTCAAGATAAGACGCTAAGCTGTCCTTTTCCGCAGCTCAAGGCGGGCGCCTCCTACGTCCCTCTTGATCCTGATCATCCACCTGAGCGGACTGCTGTCATCTGTAACGCTGTCAAGGCCAAGGTCGTCCTGACGCAGTCCGCATTACTCGATGACGTCCGGGGACGTCTCAGCGGGTCGACTGCGGTTATTGCCCTTAATGATGTGCAGTGGCTGGACCATCCCGATGTTGAGCTCTCAGGACGGGGCACAGGAGAAGATCTTGCATACGTCCTGTTTACGTCGGGTACGACCGGGACGCCTAAAGGCGTCATGGTGCACCATACTGCCGTCGTGAACACGACGATCGACGGACCGCCACTGAACCGAGCCCTTCGCAAGAGAAATAACCTGCGCACCTTCATGTTCTCGAATTATGCCTTCGACGCCGTAAGTTCGTAGCTGAACCGCCCTCGCTGAATACTAACAATGTTCTTTTTAGTCCATCTGGGACATGTTCATCACGCTTACTTCAGGCGGGTGTCTTTGTCTCGCCTCAAAGGAGGCAACGATGGACGACTTGCCCGGAGTCATGCGCCGTCTCTCCGCAAACTTCGTCATGACGACTCCTACCGTACTCAGCCTACTCGAAACCGCTGAGGTCCCTTCTCTCGACACTGTCTACAGTTGTGGCGAGATGCTTACGCCTGCTGTCCGAGACCGCTTCACACAGGCTGGCCTTACACTCGGTAACGTATATGGACCTACGGAGACAACCGTATCATGCACCTTCGATGTGGTCGAAGACGGCACGAAGGATCCTACTATCATCGGCAAGCCCTTCGGTTGGAGTCGCGGTTACATTCTCGACGATCAGCTCCGTATGGTCCCTCACGGCGCTGTCGGTACACTTTGGATCGCTGGCCCCCAGCTGAGCAAGGGTTATCTAGCTAGACCTGATCTCACTGAAGCCGCGTATCGTCCTGACCCCTTTGCGACTGGCGAGAACGTAGGTCAGCTCATGTACAACACCGGCGATCTCTGTGCGTGGGTCCAGGATGGCTACCTAAAATGCTACGGACGCGCCGATGATCAGATGAAGATCCGTGGTCAGCGCGTGGAGACGCTGGAGATTGAAGCGGTCATCTCGCGCGTTCCTGATGTTTATGCCACGTGTGTCGTGAAGCGTGTGCAAGACGGACGCGAAGACTTGGTCGCATTCTACTGTATCGAGGTCAGCCTGATCGTGTCTCGTCCTTGCAAGACGATGCTCACTCTCGTACTTCAGCCTACTTCTTCAGCAGACATCCCTGTCGTGGAAAAGGAAATCGTCGAGACGGTAACTCGTCATCTTCCGATCTATATGCGACCCTCCACCCTGGTCCATCTCGATAAGCTCCCCGTCACGGTGAACGGGAAGGCGGACCGTCGTCAGCTGCGAGCGCGTGCCGCGGAACTCGAAATCGTCGCCCCTGTCTCTGTGGATGACTCGTCCGACGAATCGCGCACAGCCACCGAAGATATGGTCGCGGAGTGCTGGTCAACTCTGTTGTCGATCCCGATCGAGAACGTGCCCTTGCACCGTGATTTCTACGAATGTGGCGGTGACTCAGTAACCATCATCCGTCTCGCATCGGCCCTGCGTGCACGAGGCCTTCAATTGAAGACCAGCGACCTCCGGAAGGCCACTACTGTCAAAGCACAGGCCGCTTTGGCTCAGCAACGCGGTTCCAACGTGGCAGGCCGCGTCGAGGAGAAGTACAAGCCATTCTCACTCATCTCACTGGCCACGGTGTCCCTCGATTCCATCGTGGCGTCTATGGGCTACTCAAAGGACATCATCGAGGATGTCTATCCTTGTTCTGCGACGGTTTCTGGACTTGTGTCTCTCGCGGCTAGCAATCCCCAGGTATGATCAGTCTGTCAGTATATTATTCTAGAACCATCGTATTTATTCTTATCCTGTAGAGCTACTACGCCCAGCACGCCTTCAAACGATCTGGACATTTCGACGCCGTTCGTTTGCACGCCGCTTGGAAAGCAGTCGTTGGACGTCATCCCATCCTACGCACTGCGTTTGTCATTCCTCCAATGCCTGCGACGGATATCCTACAGGTGGTCCTCAAGGCGGAAGCCTCTGAGTTGCATCTCGCCCACGACCGCGTCTCCAGCGAAGCAGATCTCGAACGCGTCGTTGCTGACTACTTGGAACTGTCTCGTCTATCGGGCTTTCATCTCGGCATCATCCCCACTCGTGTCGCGCTGTTCGAAAGCCCTACGTCCTCCATCATGCTCTTCCAGATCCACCACTCGCAATATGACGGGTGGAGTTTGCCTATCATTCTCAATCACGTCCAAGAGGCGTACGAGTCTCTGGAGAAGAGTAAGGTTCCCAGCATTACCAGCCCCTCTTTGCCGTATAGCGACTTCATACGCTGGGAGCGTCAGCAGAGCACAGCGACCGCGCTCACGTTCTGGACGAACGAGCTCGAGGATGCCACACTACTTTCTTGGCCTAAGATTCCTCACGATGCCAGCGACATTGCGACGGACACGCTTATCACGGCGTCGTGGACGCCTTCGGGTGACCTCACCAAATTTTGCAGCGAGCGCAAGGTCACGGCGTCGACCCTTATCCGTCTAGCTCTCGCCGTCGTTCTCGGTATTCATGGCAATACCGATGATGTCCTCATCGGCGTCGTCACCTCAGGTCGTTCAGGAGACCTGGCAGGAGTGGAGAACGTGGTGGGGCCTTGCATTGCAACACTTCCCTTCCGAATTCGCCTCCCGCCTGACGCTTCTCTCGACTCCGTCCTCTCCACCGTGCAAGAGCGCTCAACTGCTGCTGCAGCGTACGAGTACATTGGCCTCGCAGACATCCTGAAGGCCAGCCCTTTCTCGCGTTCTCTCTTCCAGGTCTTGCTGACCGTGGAGAACATTCCGGAGCTCGACCTTCACAATCACCCGCTCTTCGGTGAGGATGTCCATGGACATCAGATGGAGATGAATTACCCGCTCGGCGTCACCGTTTTCCTGCTTCCTGGCAACCGGGGCCTCAAGATCGATATCGAGTACGATTCACATCACCTCTCCGAAGAGGACGTTCACTGGTTCCGTTCTCACTTGCTCGCGACACTCGACGCTATCCTTGAGTCTCCCTCTTCTACTGTGGCCGACATTGATATTGTCACCGATGAGGAGCGCGGATACCTCCAGGACGTCGGGATTGGCCTGACACCTGACCCCGAACTCGCGGCGGAACCATTCTGTCATCGCTTGTTCGAGAGGGTTGCGCGCAAGCACCCATACCGTATTGCCGTCGAACACACCAGCGGCCAGGAACTCACGTATGCGGAGGTGGAGGCGCAGGCGAATCGCGCCGCGCACGGCTTACGAGCGCGGGGTGTGACGGTCGAGGTGCCCATCCCTGTCCTCTTCAATAAGGACGCCGACCAGTCTCAGGCCGTCGTCGGTATCATGGCGGTCATGAAGTCGGGAGGCGCTTTTGTCCCATTGGACGTCTCGTGGCCACTCGCACGACTGCTGTCATGCATTCGTCAGTGTAGTGCGCCGTTCGTCCTGTGCGACTCTGATGTTCCGGAGATCGCGCGCGAGCTCCCCGTACCCTTCGTCACGGTAGCCGAGCTTGCAAGGCTGCAATCTCCGGAGGTGTGCATCAACGAGGATCAGACGCCTAACTCGTTGGCGTACGTCATCTTCACAAGTGGATCTACTGGAGAGCCGAAGGGTGTGATGATAGAGCATCGCAACATCATGGGCTATGTCGCCAAGTATGTCTATAGTCTACTCTTCAGTCTCATGTGTTTGCTGACGGGTAGTATGTCATAGCGGTACGACGGTATATCCCATCAAGGACGTCAAACGTCTGCTCCACTTCAGCCCCTTCTCATTCGACCAGGGTCTCGGCGACATTTTCATGGCGCTCACTAAGGGCGCGACGCTTGTGCTCGCGAACATGAGCGACGTACTCACCGACCTCTCGAATGTGCTGAACTCGACTCGTGTGGACTACACCGTTCTCACTCCTGCTATCGCTCAGCTGATTCGGAATGACGTCGAGCACCCGTATCTGAAGAGTCTCCTTGTTGGCGGAGAGAAGCTCCCGGGCCAACTCGTTGACCGGTGGAAGGGCCAGGTTGCGTTTATGGATGAGTAAGTTTTACGTGGCCACATACCCTCGCGAGCAGAGTCGCTGACTGTACTACTCTGTACCCGCGCCTCCATAGCTACGGCCCGACCGAAGTTACCGTCTCTTGCGTCGGCATGACCTTCACCGCGCACACCAAAGCCGCCGCAGGCGTGATCGGTCGTTCCTACGGTGACACCCGTGCGTACATCGTGGACACTCGCGACCCCTCGCGCCTCCTCCCTGTTGGGGCTGTTGGAGAGCTCTGCCTCTCCGGCAACCAAGTCGGACGCGGGTACCTCGACCGGCCCGACCTCACCGCTGCGGCGTTCATCCCTGATCCGTTCGCCCCTGGCCTGACGATGTACCGCTCCGGTGACCGCGCGCGGTGGACAAGCGACGGGTTTATCGAGTATCTGGGCAGGCAAGACGACGCGTTTGTCAAGCTTCGCGGATTACGCATCGATACGGGCGAGGTCGAGGACGCGATTACGGGCGTTGGGGAGACGTTTGCGGTTGTGGAGCTACTGCAGCTTCGTGGGCAGCCGCATCTCGTCACCTTCATGAGCAGGACACTCGCGCCCACGGGAGAGGCCAAGCTTGAGCTCGCGGAGCCGAGAGATGAGGAAGAGGCTCGGAAGCTGAAGGCGTGGCTCCAAGAGAGCGTCGCCGCATGCCGGCAGGCGGTTCCAGTGTATGCGGTTCCGACGGTGTGGCTGGCGCTCAGGGCGATGCCACAGAACACGAACTCAAAGTTCGACAGGAAGCAGTTGAAGGCGTTCTACAAGGCTCTCGCCTCCGAGACCATCGAGAGCTTCTCTGCGGGCCTGACGCAGAGCCATGCGCCGCGTTCGCCGGAGACCGCGTTGGAGAAGACTATTGCGAAGGTGTGGAGCGACGTGCTGGGCCGCGAGGCGCAGTCGATCTCGGTATACGACGACTTCTTCTCGTTGGGAGGAGACTCGATCGGCGTCGTGCGCATGCTTTCGGGCTTGAAGACTCTAGGTTTTGTCATCTCGCTCAAGGACTTCACGGCGGGACCGACTGTGGCAGATCTGGCGGTCTACTTTGGCGCGAGCTCATCTCTGGCGAGCTCGTCGCCTGATGTCGGAGAGAGCCTTCTTCCTGGACAAGGCAACGGTCTCGTTTGGCAGGTGCAGGTGCAGGAGAATGGTCAAGGGTCGACACCGCTCTGGATGATCCATGACGGCGGTGGACTTGGGAACGAATGTCAGTGTTTCTTTCGGATCCAATATTCGACGCTTGACTCAATCCACCCTTTCCGTAGACAAGAACTTGACCTCGCTTTCGCGCGATATCCATGCCATCTCCAACCCCACCACCACCCTCGCCGAGCTACGCTCTCAGTTCCCCACTATGGCCAGCTACGTTGCGGCCTACACACCCCTCATCTCTTCGGCAAGCGATATCTTCCTCGGAGGCTGGTCTGTCGGCGGTATGTTGGCGCTTGCGCTGGCTCAGAAACGTCTAGCAGCGGGACAGCGTGTCCGCGGCGTCGTGCTGATCGACAGCTTCAATTCGGAGGGCTGGCGATACACCGGCTCGCCGCTCGACTCGGAGCATGGAAATGACAAGCTGTCCGCGGAGGAGTTCTCGCGCGTGCACCAGGCGCACGTCGATGGCATCATCGGACGGCTCACGACGAAACGGTGCGACGTCCCCGTGTTGCTTGTCCGGGCGGGCATCGGGATGGGCGTGCAAGAGATTGAGCAGGCGGGCTTCGCGGTGCCGTATCTCAACCGGTCGGCACAGAGGAGTCTGGACAGCGGGATTGGCGGCTTGTCGGATGATGATGATCTGAAGACGCCGACGTGTACGAGTCCGGAGGAGACAAACTTCTGGACGAGGTCGGTGCTGCCGCAGTTAGAGGTGGTGACTGTTGAGGGGGCGGACCACTACAGCCTGATGCGGGACGGAGCGCTTTGCGCGAAGGCGTCTGCCGAAGTTGCGAAGTGGCTTGCTAGAATCGAGGGACGCTGAGAGTCTTGTGAGCGTGGATGCCATCTACCCACTCCTTAAAAAGTATCGCAGCACGCTCCTTGTTAATATCGGTATCTATGTATTTGTTGTTGTAGAGACTAGACTGAGGCGGCAGGGTGTACTTTATCTTGCCCATGTGTTGTATAGAAGTAACCTCGCATCTGTGGAATGCACGGAATGTCAGCTGCTCTTCTCTAGAGGCGATGAACTCCGTGTCGAGGTTGAGCGCTTTGAACAAGTTCACCGACGGGGGACTTGAGTCCGTTCTGCAATCGAAGTAATTCACGAACTCCTTGTGATCAAATTGAACCTGAGGAAGGTGTTCATCGGATCGCTGAGTGAGGAGCAGGAGGAGCTTGCGCGTGTCGCTGTGATGAATGCGTTACAAAAAAAGAGCTTCCCAAGCTTGTCAAGAGAATGGTGTTGAATTTGATTGTGCGTCGATACGTAGTGACCCCTCACTTGCTGAGGGATACGATGTCTTTTGATGTCGATCTCAGGCTCATCATATAGAATTTGACATGTGTGAGGGTGAGGACCCGTGGGAGGAGGCAAGACGAGGTTTTGGCAAGAAGCCTTTTCACGACGGGCTACTTGTGTGATGGTGACCCTATGCATTCATTGCCAGTGCGTGTTGACGTTGAGTCGCAAATTCCTGGCAGACAAGGTTTCGATGCCCATCCACTGCCTCTCTCCTGACGCTGAAGGCCGCGGCGGGCGCTTTTCTGCTATGGTAGTAGAGCGGCCTCGGCTTGGACATGGACACCAACCGCCGCAGACTCCCGTGGGCCAGGTATTACTTGCGACTCGTCCAGCAACTCCAAACCGCCAACAGGACCACCATTCAAGGCATTAGCCTGTCTGCTCTGTGTACCTCTTCGACCGACTCCTTTCGATCGTCGATACGTGGCCTCATCGTCGATTTCATCGCAGAGCTCATATCCGCCGAGGGTCGATCTGGTCTTGATTGGTGAGTAGATTGGCACGACATGCGTGGCCAATAGCCAACGTATTCCATAGATCATGGTGCCATACATCCCACCTGACATCATCGACATCATCCTTGAGTATGTCGACGGTAACGCCGCACAATTATGCACCTGCGCGCTCGTATGTCACGTTTGGCTGGAGGCGAGTAGGCGGAGGCTCTTCCAACACTTGCGTTTCTATCAACCAGCGTCATACGACTCCTTCATTCGCCACGTCGTTCATCGTGAGGAGATGCAGCGATGGCTCGCGTCAGCGCGTACGCTCATGTATGCTGGTGATCGTGATCCTGACAACATCGCGATTGAGAGACAATTTAAAGCGAAGAGTAACAGGGGCCTCTGTGAACTCGCTGGCCAGCTACCGAACTTGCACACCCTCGCTCTCTTCGAACTCGATTGGTCGGAGTTCTCACATCCGCGGGCTCATCTTGCCCTCTCTCAATTTGGACGCATCAGGGAGCTCTTGCTGGTCGATTGCACATTCAGCTCCCTCGGAGCTCTCCGTGACTGCATCACCGGCTTAACGGCCTTGAGAAACCTCTTCCTTCTCCGGATTGGCTCTGAGGATCCTGTCAGATTCTTGAACGGCATTCACTCGCGGCCAATGCTCGAGACACTTGCCATCGACTTCGACGAAGACTCCGACTCGAATACTTTTCTTCAGTGGCTCTCCCAGACGCCCACTGTGTCCTCTCTCCGCCGTCTTGCAATCACACCGCGCCATCTTGATCTTCAGTGGGAAGCATTTACCTCATCCATCACTTGTTTGGATATCAGCCTCAATGTAACCAATGGTGAGCTCCAACTGCGTATCTTTGGGGAGTCTGGAGGCTAAGAAAGTTTAGAGGACTTTTGTCTCGCACCTTTTACACTCCTAGAGTCTCTGACGATAAGAGGCGGCAGTGACAAGCGCAAGAATTGGCTCCAGCTCTCTACAAACCTTCGAAGCGTCTCTGGCCGGCTTCGCACGCTGTTTCTCTCCCTAGACATATACTGGTACCCTCCCCCTCCCACGAGCCCAGTTTCATACCCAGAAGTCGACGACAGGGGTCTGGAGCTCCTTGAGCAGGTCCTGGAAGGGACTTCCTTCGCAAGCCTCCACACGGTGGAGTTCTACTTCAGGCGCTGGCAAATAGTCACAAAGCCACTCAACAGGGAGCAGGCACAGCGTGCGGATGCGCATATCAAAGACCTGGTCTGTAAGAAGCTGCACAAGCTATGCAAACGCGGAGTGCACGTCAAGATCGTAGTACATCGGTACGTAGCTCTGCGCGTCCCCTGGCCAGCTATTCGAGGTAATCACGAAACTGTTCAATCGTAGCGTTCCCAATGACTACGAGGAGGATCCGTGGGAGGAAGCGCGCTGTGGCTTTGGGCGGATGCCCTTTCACGCTGAGCACCTCAAGCTTTGCCGGTAATGGCGACTTGCCAGTCTCCCGGTGGCATAGCCAGCATCCGTGCTCATCAAGCCCTGCCTTCGATCCTACGCGGCGAGGCTGCGTTGCTCTTGCCTTTTTCAAAATCGTCGCTTCGACGCGTGCCTGTCCGTGCCTTTCCCCGAACACGTCCTCCCCTATTTCTCGCTTTCAGGTTCCCACGATGCCGGAAAGCTGCTATTGGACGCAATCCTCCCCTGGAAACCAGCCACGGTGCGCATTTGACGAGGGTAGAGGCGTATGTCGAGCAGAGATATACGCGTTCCTGTGTCGATTGAGCAGCACAAGTTCTGGAGGGCGGCGATGGACGTGCTCTCTAACGTCGCAGCTACTGCAAGCGCGTTTTAATGGCATCGTGGCACAATCTGCCTCCTTTCTCTTGTAGAGCTCAAAGCTATGTTCATTCGCAGAACGGTCTTGTTCTCGGTTAGATGCCTTATGACGCACGTTCTCGTCTTATGCACCCCTGATTCTCCGCCTTCTTAGATACGAGCAGCATGCTGTGGTGCCCAGCGACTCGATGGTCTCGACTCTGGCGCATCTGAACGATTACGGCAGAGAGATATGATACGATTGCCTCGAGTACAGCAATAGCACGTAGAAACAAGGACACGTTGCTTCGACGAGGCTGCAGAACGTCCTTGGAGCATCCTTGGCAGGTCAGCTGGTGTAGCGGCAGGCGATGTGCGAATTTGAGTTCGGGGTTCGGGAATTTGAGCTCGGTGTCCCCGAACGCTGAGATGAAGGGTGCGATGAAGCTGGGGAGGGCCCTGGCGATCCTGTTAATGAACAGCGCGGGGCAATGGACCTGGCTGGATGTCCTACAGCGAGACAGAAGAGCAAGAAGGGCGTCGTTTTTGGAGATCTCCACGACGCCCGTGAACATTCGAGTAGACTTCGGCCAGCGACGAGCAGAGCAAGAGGAAGCAAGAATGAGTCTGACAGAGGGCATCTCGGAGAGCAAGAGCATCAAGGGTCCAACACAAGTCCAACAGAAAGACTACCGGATATCACAATGGCGGCGCACAGCGAGAGATAGAGAAGACGTCGTGGGGTCGCCACGTCATGCCCAGACACCAGAAGGCCGCTCTCCGCCCAAGAGTGTTCAGATCCAAGAACACGGTTGGTTGCGGCGGCGGTGACGCTAATGAGGCTGTGGAGACCGCGATGGCTATACTTGCTTTACGGAGGAAGATAGCCGAGGGAAGGCATTCGCTCCGAAGCTCGCATTGAGTGGGACGACGTCGGACACGGACATCGGGGACCGCTGCGAGACTGCACGTCGGCTTTAGGTGCGTTGAGACCGTCTTCGAGAGATAACGCGAGCACCAAGAACGGGGTGTTGTAAATCGCCGAATCCAGTCCTGACGCCGACGCCGTTGCGTCAGAGTTGATAGCTAGCTGACGCGCCCGGGGCACATTGTCCGAATTTGCTGATCGAATTGTGAGCACGGACGCACGTTCGGGGGTGGGGATGTCGATTGCCAGGGCGGCCAGGCAGAGAAGACAGGACGAGCGCAAGCAGTGCGCGCACCGGAACACTCGATCGTCGGCACACTCCCCTTTCAGTGCGATTGAAACGTCTCTTCAAGCCCACGGCGACAGTGTCGGCATTGATGATTGCAATGGCCGCACGCGCCGCCACAAATGCGGAGATAGAGAAGGGAACCAGTGCAGAGGAGGCTGGACAAAGCCCCTGCTGGGAAGAGGACTTGTCCTAAAACGTGCGGCGGGCGGACATTTGAGGAACACAGCTTCAGCCTCGGCAGTGTGCTTACGTAAGCCAATCTATTCGCGACGCGTCCCAGATGCAGGAACGCATATATAAACATCTTCAACCCCTCCCAGCAACATCGTCTCCCTTGCTCTCCATCGTCCCTCTCTAGATCGTGTATTCCACCCTTGACTCCCCATCTCCGACGATCGGCCCCCAAACGCCTTGCAACGCCAGACACGCCCCCACCATCGTAGATCACCATGTGCGGGATCTTCGCGTACTGCAGCTTCCTCCAGGAGAAGGTGTGTTTGATATTTGCTGCTACGGAACGAACTGCGCCGGCTTGATTGGACTGTGGGAGCAATGGATTGCTATGGAGGAAACCTGGGCAAAGTCAGAAGGGACCATGCACGGACGCCTGCCCCAGTAGTTGAGGTGGAGGAGTGCGACGATCGTCCTCGGATGCGCATCGCGCGCGTATTGAGTTCTGAACTTGAACATGACATTATGTTTCTATCGTGTTCCTTGTCGAGGTCGCGCGGCCAGCTCCGCTTCCGATGCCTCGACCCTCGTCAATCCATCGAGCTCCTGAGATGCTCCTTTACTCTTCGTTGGACTGTCTGCATACCTCGTTAGCGAACGATACACCTGCATTTGCGCATTCGCCTGGAGACGTTGTTTCATTTTTGGTTTGCGCGCAACAACACGTGTTCGAAACTCGGGTTTTGGTCCTCCCTCGTTGTTAGGCTTGTCGGACAGTCCCACATTTGCGTGTCTAGAATGTCTTAGTGTGCGTCGTACTGCTCGCTGACGCTCTTCACCCAGGACCGGAAGACGATTTGTGAGATCCTCTGCAACGGTCTCGCCCGCCAGGAGTACCGTGGCTACGACTCTGCAGGTATTGGCATCGATGGCGACAAGCCCGGAGAGATGTTCTTCTTCAAGGAGGTCGGCAAGGTCGCTGGCCTCCGCAAGAAGATCGCCGAGTCCAACGTCGACACCTCCAAGACTTTCCTCTCCCAGGTTTCCATCGCGCACACTCGATGGGCCACCCACGGTCCTCCTTCAATCGTCAACTGCCACCCTCTCAAGTCAGATCCCAAGGCCGAGTTCACAGTCGTTCATAACGGTATCGTAACCAACGCTGCCGCCCTCCGCCTTGTCCTGCAAAAGCGCGGTTACAAGTTCGAGTCAGAGACTGACACAGAGGCTGTCGCTATCCTCTCCAAGTACATCTACGACTCGCAGCCCGACAAGCGCCCTAGCTTCACCGAGCTCGTCAAGACGGTGCTCAAGGAGCTTGAGGGCTCCTTCGCGTTTGTCTTCAAGTCCTCTCACTACCCCAATGAGGCCGTCACCGCCCGTCGTGGTTCTCCCCTCCTGATCGGTGTTAAGACCGAGAAGAAGCTCAAAGTTGACTTTGTCGATGTTGAGTTTGCTGGCCCGGACAGCGACGCTAAGAGCGGCAGCACCCGTACGTCTTGGCTAAGATCCTACTCGATCTGTACTGATTACGCGCAGTTGCCCCCCCTGCCGCCTCCGCTGGTGGTCTCCTTGTTCCCCCTGCTGGCCCCAGCATGCTTCGCACCCAGTCCCGTGCGTTCATGTCCGAGGACGGTCTTCCTCAACCCATCGAGTTCTTCGTTGCGTCTGACGCGTCCGCGATCATCGAGCACACGAAGCGCGTCCTCTACCTCGAGGATGATGATATCGCGCACATTGCTGAGGGCGAGCTGCACATCCACCGTCTCCGCCGCAACGAAGAGACCGGCGGCGCTCCTCAGGCTCAGCACCGCACGATCGAAACCCTCGAGATCGAGCTTGCGGAGATCATGAAGGGCAAGTTTGACCACTTTATGCAGAAGGAGATCTACGAGCAGCCTGAGTCGGTCGTCAACACCATGCGTGGTCGTGTCAACTTTGACCAGCACGTCATTACCCTTGGTGGTCTCCGTGCTTATCTCAACATCATCCGTCGCGGTCGCCGCATCGTTTTCTGCGCGTGCGGAACTAGCTATCACTCCGCTATTGCCACGCGTGCAATCTTTGAGGAGCTCACCGAGATCCCTGTCTCCGTCGAACTCGCGTCGGACTTCCTCGACAGGAAGACTCCTATCTTCCGTGATGACGTTTGCGTGTTCGTCAGCCAGAGTGGCGAGACGGCCGATACCATCCTCGCCCTTCGCTACTGCTTGGAGCGCGGTGCGCTCTGCGTTGGTGTCGTCAACACTGTCGGGTCGACAATCTCGCGTGAGACCCACTGCGGTGTCCACATCAACGCGGGTCCTGAGATTGGTGTTGCGTCAACCAAGGTGTGTACCATGATTGCTCGGTGGATGCTTGTGCTGATGCTCGCTTTGCCAGGCGTACACGTCGCAATACATCGCGCTCCTCATGGTGGCTCTCCAGCTTTCCGAGGACCGCATCTCGCTCACCGAGCGCCGCAACCAAATCATAGAGGGTTTGCACGCACTGCCCGGTCAGATCAAGAGGGTGCTCGAGGGCGACAAGGGTCTCCAGGAGCTCGCCACTGGCGTTCTCGCGAACCAGCGGTCCCTACTTATCATGGGTCGTGGATACCAGTAAGTATTGTGTTTGTCTCGCCACTGCCTCCGTGTAGGGTCCTCACCTCAACTTATAGGTACGCTACGTGCTTGGAGGGTGCCCTCAAGATCAAGGAAATCTCGTACATGCACTCCGAGGGTATCCTCGCCGGCGAGCTCAAGCACGGTCCTCTGGCGCTTATCGACGAGAACATGCCCGTCATCATCGTCATGACGCAGGACTCGCTCTATCCCAAGGTGCAGAGCGCGTACTCGCAGATCACTGCCCGCAAGGCGCAGCCCATCGTCGTCTGCAACGAGGATGACGACGGCATCCCGAAAGGCTGCAAGACCATCCGCGTGCCCCGCACGGTCGACTGCTTGCAGGGTATCATCAACATCATCCCCCTGCAGCTGCTCAGTTACCACTTGGCGGTGAAGAACGGCTTCGATGTCGACTTCCCTAGGAACTTGTGCGTACATTTGCCTTGGTTCTATACGCGTGGTGCTTACTTACTGATCATTATATATTAGGGCGAAGTCGGTCACCACCGAGTAAGTGCCCCCTCCACCGCGGTCGCACGTGCAATGGGCGGTCGGGGGTCATAACAGGCCACCGTACTCTGATGGAGAAGGACGGGAAGGGGTACGAGAGGGACAGGTGGAGAGACGCACGGACGATTGCAGAAAATTGGACACTCTACGTCGCCCGCACCCGGGCTTACGCGCGGCTAGCACGGACACTTGTATAGACGATACTGTTGTTTCGCATGTCTCTGTTGTTGGCAGTTGTCGTCGAGGCACTTTCGAGGCGTTAGTGTATGTACTATCATGATATCACGACAGTTGGAACCTGTGCTAGTCAGCCCGACCTGAGTGTTATTCGATGCAGCGCGCGAGTGGCTCGGGTGCAAGGTGGAGAGCTGCAGCAACTGAGTCGCGCATAATGACATAGAATCTTGGGGTTGCGTAGGAGATGACTGTATCAGACGTAAGAGCCCGCGGCGGCGGCGGCGGCGGCGACAACGGCTGCACAACAGGAAGAGGAGGTGGATAGCAAGGATTCCATTAACAGTACACAACAGATACAGGTTCACATGCGCTGACAGAGGAAAGCAAATAACGAGTGTGCTATGGTACGTGAAGACACGTCACAAGTGATAGCAGACAATTGCAAGGATAAGAAGCATGAGCGGACGTTGAACACAAAACAGATAAAATGATGTGAGAGGCGATATGCATGGGTATTAACGACATTAGTCACGGTCTTGAGGCAGGCAGCGGTGACAAGCAGATCAGACAGCAAGAGGATGGACTGCGTGATTGTGCAGGGAGGTTGGTTGGGATAGCAAGCGGAACCATAGCTGACGGAAGCGGAGGCACCTGTCGCAGCAGACATCATCAGAACCGAAACCCCGGAGATTGAGAGTAGACAACAAACCTGGAGAGCATACGGTCGGTCGCTCACTGATCCAGACGCTCCTTGCTCTTGATGAGACCCTTCGATGCGAGACGTTTGATACTGCGAAACACGCTTGCGATGGTGTCGGGGCGCTGCTCGCCGCTGCGGATGGAAGCTGCATCGCGAGTCGTCGTAGAAGGCGGGCGGGAACGGCTTCGTGCGCTCGAGGGGCCTGCAACAGGAGAAGACGGGGCGCTCACGGTGACTGTTGGAAGGGACAAGGGAGGGAGGGGTTCTTGGGAGGACTGAGGGGTGAAGGAAGTAGGGGAGGCGCCACCTTGGATGAGCAGGCGCTGGAGCAAATCCTGGAGACCGTCAAACCGCTTCTCAAGAGCGTCGAACCGCTCATCGACCTTGCTGAAGCGTTCATCGACGTTCTTCTGCATCTCGTCGAACCGCTTGTCCACCGCGCGGAAGTTCCCATCAACAAGTTCCGCATGCTTGTTACACCACTGCTCAGTCTTCTTCGAGAAGTTGTCGACAATGTCGAAATGGTCGTCTAGCCGAAGGTCGAGGTTCAGTTGCATCTGCGACAACTGCTCCTCCTGTTTCTTGAATTTGCCGTCCACGTAGGTCTTCGTTGCACCGAGCTTTTCGTCCACGTAGGCCTTCTGTGCGTCGATCTTGGCCGTGAGGCGCGTCTCGAGCCCGGTGATTTTCTCGTCGAGGGTCTGACTCTTGGTGGTGAGGTCGGTCTTGACGCGCTGAAACTCGCGCTCCACGACCTGCGAGTCTTCGTACATCTTGTGAGTGTTAATGCCAAAGGTCTGCTCCAAGGAGGAGGGACGAGTGTCGATCGGTGACGTGGTGGCTACAGTTCAGTCAGATGAGCGTCGTCATACATAACTTAGACATTCGGACGTACAAGACGAGGGCTTAACTCCTGGGACGGACATGGTGAGCTGGAAGGTAAGGGCGTTGTTTGGGGTCGAGAAGATTATGGGAGGGAGGGTACGGAGGATAACTTGAGGGCGTCGTGCACGCCTTTTATCGATGGTATCTTCGGTGTCTGTTCTGCGTTTGGGTGCCATATTGGGAGGAGACACAAAAGAAGACTATTGGGGGAGTGACTCGACGGCGAACGACTTGTGGAATACACGAGGCGGGGCGTCCTGCCAAATTCGTCGCTGTGTGCCAACGAGCGGAGCTGAGTCCCCTTCCTATCCTAGAGCAATCATAATAGAGCGCACATACCAGTACGGTATCGATTCGAGAGTCAGAAGGTGCAGGGAGGAAGACAAGGAGGACACGGCCTCAATGAGTCCGCTCATCGTTGCCAGGTGTAGGCGCCCGTGTGGTGGGGTGTTCCCACGCCATCGGGACCGCCATTCAACGAGTTCACGACTCGTACGGACTAGTCGTCTTACCCCGTCGACCATCACAATGTCTTCCTCATCTGCTGCGGCGAGCAAGGTTTCTTTCACAATCCGCAGACCAACACCTGTTGCTCGCGCCGACTCCGACTCAGATTCTTCCAACTTCAAGGTCCCTGCACTACCCCGCCATCTTTCTGGCACCAGCACGCCAAACAGTCCCCTTTCGCGGAACAGCCCGCCGACCCGCACATACAGCGAGCGCGACAGCTCAGATGAGGATTCAGGAGTAGAAGACGAGCTGGTGACGGCGTTCGACGAATTTGGCGCAAAGCGGTGTGTCTCCTCATTCCCCTTTTCCAGATCGGGTCCTCAACTCACAGCAGCCCACTCCCGTGGCAGACTCCATGAAAAACCAAAGCCTCAAGGCCCGCTCGTGATCCCCGCCTTGCAAAACAGAGATTGGCGCGAGTTCGCGCGGAAGCGCAAACAGCTATACGTTCCCCCCAGTGCCGCTGCGACTACCGGAGCGGATGGCTCCGTGGGCGGACTGGGCACGCGCGACTCGATCAATTCGGGCCCGCAGCTGTCAGGTCTGCAGGCTCGTAAGCGCGTCAAGGTTGAGGAAGGCGAGGACGAACCTATGTCCGACGCCATTGCTCCCGAGACTCCGCAGTCCGTGCAAGATGTGAAGGCGGAGGAGACAGAGGACCAAAAAGCCCTCCGCGCTATCCTTGCGAGCGCCTCTTCAGGGGACGACGCGGGAATTGACGGTCCTCACATCGATGTCATCCCCGTCGTGACCGAGGACGATGCTTACAAGCAGGACGTCGAGGAGCTCCCGGAACCGGCCACGCTCGAGGACTACGAGCGCGTGCCTGTTTCACAATTTGGCGCGGCGCTTCTCCGCGGGATGGGTTGGAAGGAAGGGCAGGCCGCAAGCAGGAAGAACAAGGGTTTGGTGGAACCGTGGCTTCCGCAGGCGCGTCCCGCCCTCTTGGGCATTGGCGCGAAGGAGAAGGAAGTGTTCGACGACGGGAGCAAGGGTAAGAGGGGTGCGAAGGCGCGGCCCGAGAGACGATACGTACCCGTCATCAAGAAGGAGCGAGCGCCCGAAGGTGGCAGTGGAAGCGGAGAGAGCTCTTCTAGACGCCGGTCTCCCTCCCCAGGTCGGAATGGCTCGAGGCGGTCGCCTTCCCCTGACCGCCGCAAGGACCGTGATGGCCGTCGGGATGACCGCGACCGAGAGCGGTACCGCGAGAGCGTTCGCAGTCGGGATCGCCGACGAGACGATGATTACGACCGCCGGCGGGACGACGACCACGACTCGTCCTCTCGTAGGGACCGCGACAGGCATAAGGATCGTTCTCCCCCCAAGGAACGTTATGACTCGTCCAGCAGGACAAGGGACAAGGACCGCTACTAGATGATTTGGACATGCACCGGTCACTACTGTTGTCGTCTGCTCGCTTAAATGGGAAGTGCACTTTTGCAGCCTGATGTCGTTGCAGATGCAGATCTATTGAATTCACCTGCGTGCCGACGATACATCCCGCTTTCTTGGATGCGATTCCGGACCTCTTGCATGTCTCTTCTGCTGCCGATTCTGCAGTGTAGTAAGCGAACATATTTGCTATCTCCAAATTTGCTCGTCATAGTGATTCTACTTCTCACAGGTGCGTCATTTGTCACGCGCCATACTCGGCTCTTTCTTGAACACGCCTGGCCTCAGGAGATGTACTCATCCCCTCATCAGGGTGCAATATGCTGTGCCGCTCTAATCGCCGTATGAGTTCGTGAGTTCGTGCCTGGGCCCTGGAGGCCTTGAATTGAGTTATCTCATCTACCGCCTACATCGAGTTCTTCGTGACGAGGCCCGAAGAAATGCCTTCAGGCCGGAACCGCAATCTCTTATGGCCACGATGCCGACAAGTAGCTCGACAGATCGCTTCTCGATGCATCACCACCTGGCCCTAGGCACTGGTAGCCCTCGTCGCAGTCGCATGAGCCTTGGTCAGTACTCAGAGGGGTTTACTCATCACGAGATTCTCATCGGCATCTCGTATTCTACTACCTCCGCACTTCCTCGGGGCCCGCCTTTGAAGCTAAATGTATGGGTTTCACCGCATATACATTACTAAGGCCCCACTTCCCCTCCGTGCGATCTAGCGATTGAAACGCGTATGCGTAATGTTACGTTTCATGCTTACATTGATGCTATGTAGCGAGAAACATCTGACTACATGCATTGCAGGTCACACCGCATCGTCTTTCACCTATGCACGCCTACGGGAACGGAATTCGCTCGGCAAGATGTCGCACGGGGTTTCCCAACGAATGCAGCGAGGCTGATCACCCACGTTTGCCTGCTAGCCAGTCAGATATAACTGCCCCTACCCAGAAATATAACCTTTGTTCCTGGCTATATTTGCATCATGCTCCAATCCTTGTGAGTCGTTACACCACGGAGCGGGACATCCGCATACCGGGACGCCGGTATACCGTACTTGTTTCGTGTGCGTGTAAGGATGGGTTTCGGGAGGTTGGCGCATACGAGGCGGATCCTCTTTCCGGCGCAGTGCACCCCGAATATACATCTATAAGGCAGCTCTCACACGGTGCGTGACATGCGAGACTGTAAAGTTGGATATATGTACACCAGGCCGTGGCTTCGCGAAAGGGGTAGTCGACATCTCTGAAGCTTCCTCCCCTTCCTCCAGCTCTGCTGCACAGACATGCCGGACGGGTCCCCAGCTGCGAAGCCGCGGTTCAGACTCGCCATCATGTGCGTCGTGTATTCGCTTATCGTGCGACCCGGTCTTCGTCTGACCTCTTGCGTAGTGGTGGGGGCATAGCGGGCCTTACGCTCGCAGTCGCCCTAGGTCGTTTCGAGCAGGCGAGGTCGCCCATACAAGTGGACCTGTACGAGTCGGGCCCGGAGATTACCACCGTCGGCGCTGGGATTTCTGTCTGGCCGCGGACGTGGGCCGTCATGCGCGCACTGGGCCTGTATGACCAGCTTGCAAGCCAGGCCGTGAAGGCAGCCGACGGTAAAGACGACGATATCAGTACGTGGGGGTGTTGCTGCCCATGTGGCTGTTGCGGCGTACTCATGGTTGAAGCATGCAGAGCCTGGGTTTGTGTTCCGCAAGTCGGACTGGCCTCGTGAGGGGTACGAGTTCGGTAGAGTCATGGTACCTAGTACGTATTGTGGTGCTGATCGGGATCGACGACTTCGGAGCTCATACACACGTTGTTGTGCAGGCGGTTCGACTACCATGCACCGTGCAGAGATGGTGGACGTTCTAGTCCGAAACATCCCAGCGAGCTGTGCGGTCCACACATCGAAACGGCTCGTGAAGTACACGGACTCCGGGACTTCTTACACATTGCATTTCGCCGACGGGACGAAGGCGACCGCGGACGTTATCGTTGGGGCGGATGGGATCAAGTCGAAGACCCGCGCGGCGATGTACGATTATGCGCACCAGAGGGAGTGCGCAAAGAAGGGGATAGTAAAGAAGGAGGAGTGTGAGCGATGCAAGAAGGCGGTGCCAAAGTGGACGGGGACAATTGCGTATCGATACTTGATTCCCTCGGAGAGCCTGCGAGAGATCGAGCCCAAGCATCATGCGCTGGAGTGCGTGTCACCTTTGAGTGTGAGTAGTCCGCCTGCGCTTTTCGGTGAGCAGGAAGACTAATGTTACGTCTAGTATTCGGGCAAGGGGAAGGTTCGTCGAACTCTGCACGGTCCTAGCTCGCACAGGTTGATTATGCTTGCGTGCATGAATATCCAGCATATCATCACCTACCCTATCTCGCACGGCAAATATCTGAACTTCGTGGGTTTCGTCACTATTCCCGACGGGGAGGGCACAGTATACCCGCATAAGTGGGTCAGAGATGCGAAGAAAGAAGATATCTTGTCCGCTTACCCAGGTTGGGAGCCGGAGGTCGACCAGATGCTCTCGGTATGTACGAAGATCTCCAGATCAGGAGTTGCTCTTTACCATCTCGATTCCAGTGTGTCGAGAAGCCGACTATATGGGCTATCCATGTCATGGAAGATCTCCCCTTCTCTGTGTATGGCAAGGTAGCAATTATAGGAGATGCGGTACGTGCGGTCGGACTGCGCTCCTTGTAAAGTAGTGGCTTGAAAATGAACATTCTATGCAGGTCCATGCCATGACTACACACTTTGGCGCGGGAGGAGGTCAAGCTATCGAGGTAATACTCCCTGTCTTTTTCGCTTGAGTTTGGGTATGCTAAGACGGACCTCTCAGGACGCATATATTCTTGGCCGTTGGCTCGCCGATCCACAAACTACCCTATCCCGCGTCCCGGATGTCTTGCGCATTTACCAAGACGTCCGGCTCCCGTTCGCCCGCAAGGTCGTGCGTGACGCGGGAAAGGCAGGGCTGATGTACGAGTTCAACTACCCTGGGCTCTACGACGGGTCTCCCATTTCAGCCTCTTCGGAAGAACAGGAGGTTGATTTGTTGAAGAAACCTCTTGACGAGCTGGGCGAAGCGATCCGAGACCTATGGCGGTGGCAGTGGGAAGAGAAGGTTGACTCGCAGTGGGATGTGGCCGAGGCGCGGTATCTGGAAGTCTTGAAGGGCGGGCGCGCTGAGAAGGTTAAGGAGAAGGGCGAAGGGAAGACGTGTGTGATTATGTGAGGCAAAATCACGAACGGGAGGACATGATACCTTGTCGCGAAGATAACCACGTAGGCAGCGCTGTTCAGCGGCGTGGGGACAAGCCTCTGGCCTCATATTTCCCTACAGCTACTACCGTCGCATGGACACCATTGTCCCGTTCGGTGAGTGCGAAATAGAATGTGCACTAGACCGGATATCGAGAACATGATTCACCAGGGCTCCATAGCGGTGGCATGGTCATTGTCCAATTTATTGTCTAGAATCAGTCACACAAACCCTCACCTTCAGTATCAGAGTAGCAGGATGCATATGAGGTTGAGACTGGAAGATGTGGACGGAAAAGGAAAAGGGAGCGCCGGCAAGAGAGGCGTTGTTGTGGGTTGTTGTGCAAAGGCTTTGACGCCGCCCAGAACGGGATGACCGAGGCGTTACGTCGCAGGCTTCTCGCTGTGTCGTCTCGACCGTCCACGTACTCTAGTCCCCGTTCGATTATTCCCGTCTAGTGCTTGAAATCCCCCTTGCTAGGAGCTCTCATACTACTCAGGCTATCCCGGTGACCAGCCATCCCTAGTGACTAGGCAGGAACTATGGGACACGCTCAAAAACCTTCAGTCGACAGCGAGATGCATGAGCTCAATGCCGAGGCCGATTTTCTCGAGCAGAAGATCACAGTCGCCCCGGTTGGCGCAAGCGGAGAGGACGCGAGGGTGCAACCACAGCAATCTGACCCGGACGCACAGGCAATGGTCATCGAGTCCCTCCGCAGCCAAGTTCAGGACCTCTTCTCGCAAGTGTCGCAACTCAATAACAAACTCGTCCGCTCTTACGACCGTGTTTCCGACTTGGAAGATGAGCTTCACGTAACATCGCAGAATCTACGTCAGGCCACCATCAAGGTCGGCCAACTCGAGCTCGAACGCACACAGCATCTCTCCGCGCTCAGCACCGGACTCCTCGTCGAGAAGTCGCATGTGACATCTGAGCTGACGCGTCTCATGGAGAAAGCCACCGAAGAGGCGGCACGCCGTGGCCAGGCCGAGAGTGCTCGCGCTGAAATCGAGAAGGAATTAGACGATCTCAGCGCTGGCCTGTTCGACCAAGCGAACCGGATGGTGGCTGAGGCACGTATCGCCGAGGCCAAGAGTGCGCGGAAGGTCGAGGAGACGGAGGCGGCCCTTCGAAGCGCAGAGGAGATCGTCGGCGCTCTGCAGGCCCAGATGCAAACGTTGGAGGCAGACAAGGAACAGGCAGACAGGAGAGTGGAGGAGATGAGGTTGCGTATGGGCAAGGGCAAGTGGGTCGAACATGGAGTGAATCATACCCACACAGTCCGGCGGCATCTCTTCGCGTCGCATGTCCCTTACCACGAATTCCTCGTCTTTGTGTCGCATCTGCGAGCTATTCGTCCGGCATCGCCACATCCACCCGCCATGTCTACCCTCACCCCTTTACCGTTCTTGGCAAGAATCATTGCTGAGGACTCGTGCGTAGCATCCATTCCTTCATCTTCAACTGATACTGACAAATCGTTCAAAGCGATCCAACTGTGCGCTTGGACCTCGCTCCCTCGCTGAACTGGTTGTCAAGACGTTCCGTGATAGGGGCGATTCACAGTGGTCAACTCACGATTGAGCCTATACAATTTACGACCCTTCTGGAGGAGCTGGCTCCACCGAATATACCCACTAGCCACCATCATACCCACGTCGTCTGCGCCCTCTGCGGGATGTTGATATACTCTTCGGCCAGCGACTCCTCACCCAGTACACCTACTACTCCCTATCCTTTGCGCTCCGGCTCGCAAAGCGCGTCTTGGTCTACCACTCTCTTCAAAAACGTGCGTTCTGGTGAGATTACTTTGCCAGCGTTAACGGGCCAGAATCATCGACATACGCCTTCGTTCGGCTCTGCTCCCACGGAGCCCCCGACACAGGTGTACATTTTCCGCCTCGATTCTACTTCCTCCGGCCTCCCCATGTCCCTTCCCTTATCAACCCAGCAGCCTGGAACGCCGACGCGCCAGGCGATCTACCCCCTCTGCACCAGCGGGTGGTGCCTCGCTCGGCTGCGCACGACATGCTCGCTGTGGGCGTTCGTCCGCACAAGCATCGTCGAGAAGGTTTGGGAAGAGCCACCCATGCCCACTCCGACACACGGCATTCCCAAGCCAGGCGTCAATGGCTTCGAGAAGAAGCCGTCATCCGAAGGCGAGAATGTCAACGATCGCAACAGCTCCTCTACGCGAGACTCCTCCCCCCGTCGGCCTAAGGTGGGCTCGGCGCTTGGCTCGCTGTGGGGCTCGATGCAGCGCAGCTTGAGCGGGACTCCTGCGGTGTCGAAGTCGCAGTCGACAGAGAATGTGAGCACGAAGATATCTGAGCCCCCCAAGGAGAGACCCAAACTGCCGCCGAGAGACCCGTCGCGGAAGACGCTGCCCCCGCCTCCTCCTACTCACCCGGCGGTCTCGCACTCGCCGAGGAATTCGACATCACAGTCCTCGACGAACGCTACGGTGCATCGTGTGCCGCCTCCCTTCAAGGAGGAGAAGGAGTCGCTTCCTCCAGTCGTTGCTGCTGCTGCTGCTGCTGCTGCTTCGCCGCCGCCGCCTTTGCCGAAGAGGAATAGGGGAAGGGAAAGGACGATTACGCCGGAGCTAAATGGGGACGTCAAGGCCTCTACGGACACTGCTCACCCAGAAGCGTCTTCTACGGAGCAACCAAAGGAACCTTCCGCCCCCGCTCCTCAGGAAGAAACCGCGCCCGCACTTAAAGAGCCCGAAGCAGCCGTTGGGGCGCCCGCCAAGCAAGAGGCTCCCCATGCAGAGGGAGAGGCGAAGGCCGCCGCCGCAGATGAGGGCGCGGCACCCAAATCCGGGCTTATCGTCGCCACTGGCCCCATCTCTCAAAGCACATCGACGGAGTCGTTCAGCACACCCACGGAGGAGCTTCAGGTCGACATCGCCGCCAAGGCTCCGTCGTCAGAACCGTCGTCAGAGCCGTCCCCACAGAAAACCCCGACGACCGAACAGGCACCTGCAGTCGAGTCTGCGCCCGAGATCGTCTCCGCAGAGCCGCCCGCGATTGAGGCTGCTGCCTCAACGCCTACTACGGCTACTCCTGTCGCCGAGGCGAAGTCTCAGCCGCCTTCGCGGACGGGATCTCCTGCTCCGCCACCGTTGCCTCGCCGTGCTGCTGCAAGGACGCGTCCATTGTCCGCGCTCGTACCTCAGAACGAAGAGCAGCCGAAGCGGGATAGCATTGACGTACCTTCACAGACGGAGGCTATCCCTGAGCCCGCGCCTGTCACGGAAGAGCCTACGTCTACAGAGCAGAAGGCCGAGGAAGCGAAAGAAACTGTCCCGGAGCAGACGCAGGATGAGGCTAAGGAGAACAGTGATGCCGAGGCGTCTGCGCCTGCCCCTGAGGCGTCGTCCGATGCGCCCGCCCCGGTTGAGCCTATCGCAGTTGTCGATGCAACATCACATATCACGGAGGAACCACAGTCTATAGCCGCTACAGAGAATCCCCCTGCGACCCCGCCTACTGAGGACAGCGCGCCTGCATCTGATTCTGATGCTGTCGCTGCCCCCGCTGACGTGCTGAAAACGGATCTCGCCACCGCTCCTGCAGAGAAGACGTCCCTTGTCAACGGTCACGCGGAGTCTGCGCATTCGGAATCTGAGTCTGTCTCTGAGGCTCCGCCTGCCTATGCTCCAGGAGAAGTTCAGGCGAATGGGGACAGCAAGGAAAAGCTTGTAGACAACGTCGCGGAGGAACCGGACAACGGCCAATACATCGGCGACGCGACGTGGGAGGAGCGCACGTACAAAGAGCTCGTCCGACTGCGGGAAGAGATGTTCTGGGCACGTATTGGTGCTATCGTGCACTAACAACCCTTCTATTCATTTTCGTCGGGTAGAGCGAGCGAGACGACAACGAAATCGCTGTATGCGTGGGGTGCGTCCTGACGGGGCGCGTGGTATCTATGTGGTCTATATGGTTTATTGTAGCTGTTGTTGTACGGAAACTGATCTCTGTCTAGACAAGAATTAAGTATGCCCTTACACATATTGACGTTGACTTGGCTGCGGAGCGTGAGCGAAGAGTCCGCAACAGAGTCGAGTTGCCGACAGACTTGACATCAACACAGAAAGTCTGGGCCGCCCTCGCAACGTGTTTTCGTATTTCAACAAATGTCTATCGCCGTCGTTCCGACATCTCCTCATCAGATCGCTGCTATCACCAGTTAACGTAATAGCATGCCAAAAGAGTTGTGGAGAACGCACCATGAACTCTGGAATTGTGTCACGCAGTAGCCGCCAGTGCACCACGCATCGGGTGTATACAATGGTGATCCATACAACTTCTCGTTCTCAAATAAAGGCTTCAATATGCACAACGCCGTCCTAGGCTGGTCTACATCCACTCCCCATGGCTCAACCTTCTTGACACGGAGGTCGTATCTTATTAGCAGCTCATTCGCTGCGGTTCTAGCTTCGCTATGGAATAAGCACAGTCGGAGGTATGGGCCGTGATTGATCGAACAAAAGTGCGCGTGCAAGAAATGCGTAGTATCTTCAAGTTCTCGCCCACCGGGTATCACGATCTCGGAGGTATCACGATCCACGAATGATATTGACATCGCCACGGCTTCTGCATTACAATCATACTGTCACAGCTTTGCAGCTAGCACATCTCCGCCGTACACTATCTTCGAATTCAACGCAATCCTTCGATGGTAATCCTCTCGTGCCTTCGTCATCTGAACATGGGTGTGTGCGATCTCTCCTTCCTCTACCCAGCGGCGGAAAGCCTCCAGATCGACCTCGCTCGACGCCTCTTTCACGTTGCGCGACCAAGTCGCATGCTCCAACAGATATAGAGCACACGAGATAGCGGCGAAGTAGTTGAGCAAGGGCGTGGTCAGAAGAGCGTTTGTGACGCTTTCACCGAAGTAGATTGGTAGCCTCTCAAGCGACGCAGAGAGTGTTTCTACCGCTTGCAGAGCAGGGGAATGCAGCCGGGCTTGGGCTGCTTGAATAAGCGAGCGCCCCCACTGATAAGGATACGATACTGAGTGGTCAGTATACTAAAATATCTCGGAAGAAACACGCGCACCTCTATGTAGTACGTGACCGCCTTCGGCTCCTTTGACACCGCGCGCGTCAAGTCCAAGGCGCACACGCTAATGGTGCCTTCCCATATCTTCTCGACCATAGCATCGCGAATGAGTCTACCAGAGCAATAACGGTTCATGAAGTGATAGTGATTAACCAAGGAATGCGGAGCACGTACCTGCCAATGCCAGCCTCTTCCATGTACCCCAAGCCACCAAGTGCGCCCATGGCCTGCTCCATGCCGGCAGTGGCCCAGTGCGCCGCGTATCCCTTGATCGTGGGTGTCAGTAGCCTCAGTCGAGCCTCCTCTTCTGCGCTTGCCAGGCCACATTCACTCCTTCCGAGCAAGCCGATCGCTCCAAAAGTGAGATTGGCCAGCGCCTTGTACAAGAGTGTGATCTCAACGAGACCTGCCACGTGCATTGGCACGTCTTTGAGGAGAGTCTTCCCGCCCTCGACGGCGCGCACCGTGGAATAAGCGCGTGCGATGGAAAGGCAGCGCTGGAGGGATCCTACACAGTGGACTGTCGAGTGTACCCGTGTGATGTTGAGCATGCGCGCGATGCACCTCACGCCCTCGTTGAGCGGACCAAGCAGCCAGGCGCGGGTGCCGCGCAACTCGAGCTCAGCTGTGGGGACGCCGTGAGTTCCGACCTTGTTCTTCAGGCGATGCAAGAAAACCCCGTTAGAAAGAGGCGAGGGGTACCGGCCCATGCGCAAGGGAATCAAGAAGAGCGAGAGGCCGCGCGAGCCTTGGGACACATCGCCGGTACGTGCGAGCCCGACGGCCATATTTCCCTCTGCCGCGCTGGAGAACCACTTGAGGCCGTCCAGGATGTACGGATCGCCGAGATCACCGTCTGCGCGCTCTGTGGGTACGGCGCGAGTTTCGGTCTGAGATATATCAGAACCACCCGGACGCTCTGTCATCCACTGGCCGGAGAGGTAGGCAGTTGCGGGATTCCGACTCAGTAAGTGTGGGAGCAGCTCGCGCTTCATTGCCTCGGTCCCAAACAGATGGATCACTGGAAGGTGATGCGAGTGAGCAGAGGGAATCAGCAACAATTAATGCTTGACTTGCATCGCGTAGCACCATCTGTCATCCCCATGGGGCACATAATCTAGGCGACGTTGATGCTGAGCTTGTACGAATCTTGCGCAATGGACACTACTACTTACGGCGTGACAATCTCCGGTCATGATCATGTTCCGCGCGAACATGACCGTCCTGCTGTATTCACGATAATCCGATTCGTATGCTATCGCATTATAGCCCTCTTGAATAGCGAATGCTTCAATTCGACGCCATCCTTCCGATGTGTGCAGATTGTCGACACGCCGACCGAACTCATCGTATTGCGTTACAGTCGCTGGGTGCACCAGTGACGCAAGGGGGCGTATATCTTACATACATCCAGAAAACTCTGTAAGCAGAGGAGGGGGTAAGATAAAAACTCAACTCACCATTGATTAAGACCTCCCCTAAACGTGTCAAGTCGCTGTCGACAGACTTCTTGATCCTATCGTGGTGTAAGTTGCATGGTTATATGAGCTCGAATCGTACATACTCATGAGGAAGGATGCGCCTCAGCAAGGAAGGTAGAACGGGATCCTGTAGGTAAGGATGTTCAATCAGGTACGGAGGCTACGGAGACTGATTAGCGAGTCCAACACGGGGTGATGGCTGAGATGCAGCTTACCTGCTGGAAACCTTCCTCGATGCGCATTTATTGAGGCGTGCGAGGGGGCTGATGAGTGTGGCGGGGAGCTCCTTGGTACGGAATGGGGATAGGGTTTCTTCCGCTGTATTTCATGGGAGGGGCTTATGTGCAGTATGCTTCGATTATATCGGTATCTGAAAAGAACTGCCTCGGGGATTCCGGCTGTGCGGCGGATATAGGAGGTTCTAAGGATGTGGGCGCACCACATGTGCCAGTACTTAGTAGTGTGCAGGTTTCCCGGGTCTCGCACGATAGACGCCTCGAATGTCACCGAGGCCCTTCCTGTGGCCTATTTTCCGTTAAGCATGTGCCCGCCACCTGTGCAAACTCGTCCAGGAAGATCGGACAGGAGTACGATGCATGGTGCACCGTGTATCCTCCTGGAGCGTGGGCGTGATCACGTGATTCTGTTGTCGCGTCCTGTCCTACGTAGACAGTTGCCACCACCAACCCAAACCAACACCATCACCAACTCCCCGGTCTGACTCGTTCACTATCTGAATTCTCTCTGCTTGCGTTGGAGGACGACCACATGATTCTACACGACGTTCGCTAATCATCGTCCAGCAAGCCTGGAGTCGTCGCCACTCTGAGTGGCGGGCACCCCACCTAGGTCCTCGGCACGGACATCTCCTAACAGCAGGCTTGCCGTCTCTGGCTCTGCAGACAAGACCGAAATTCGTCTTGTCCTCGCGTCGTCTTCTGAGGTCTCCTCGTCTCACAGCCAGCCATTGTTGCAATCGGTGGGTATCATCCGCGAGTCGATTCTGTATTTCTAGTCCCCTTCTCTAGTCACTATCTTAGCTACGTCTGATTTCGATGTCATCGTACGTTCTGGCATCTCATCGTTGACTTCTCCAATGCGTGGGTGGTTTGCTGTGGGACACGGTCTCACCGCCGAGCTTGAGAGGGGGACGGTCTCCGTACTTCATTTCGATCGCTCTGTGACGCGCTCGGTGAGTCTTCCATCATATATAACACGAACCGGCAGTTAATTTGCGTGATCTTCGTTGCATGATGCATCATTTCCATGAATACCCTTGCGTAGTGATGGGCTTCTATCGCGTTGTTGTGCTCAGTATGGTCTCCTGCTTTGCGTCCTTCCTCCCGGACGCACTGCGACCTCCCCTCGCCGCGAACACATTCAGCCCTTCTTCGTCTATTTTCTTCCCTGAAGCTCATGATTCTCTATGTGCTGCTCGACCTCTACAACAGCAAGTCGTTTCAAATGTAAGCAACCCTTCATATTCCGTGCAGAGCGCGGGTGACGTACTAGCTTTCCCCGCCAAAAAAGCTACCCCCCGCTAGCGATCTTGGATTTGGGTGGTACAAGCTACTACCACCCGGTAGATTGTGAACCGTCCGCTTGGACAGGCCATCGGCAGCGACCACTGCACTATTGAGCGAAGCTGGGTGAACATGATAAGTAAACATACCCGAGATTCTATGAGGGGGCGCGTTGCGAGCGCGTTTCAGCGAAGTGGTAGCGTCAAGTGGAAGAGCAAGCGGAGCTGAACGTAGACGTGCTGTCACACATGGAGCGACGACGCAATATAAAGGGGATGTTGTAAGAGTTCGCTCTCGACGACTTCCTACTCCGAAAGTCATAGCAGACTGTGGCATGATCTGGCAACGAGCTTCGGCAGATAGCAGCTCCTGCAGCACACTGACAGTAGCACGCTCTCCGATAACATTTGGACGCGCAGGTGACAGCACACATAATTCAGGGAAAAACTACCCACGAGCCAGAGAGCTTCAGACTCACTGGAAAAGAGCGGACAGATGCTGAATTGGGGCAGCGCAATAGAGAACGTACGCGGCGGCAAGGAGTACCGCAGCTCTATATCCTACTGTTGAGAGAGGGAGGGGTTGGACGAAGGGGGAGGCGCATGTCCTCCATGCCATCGTACCATCCGGGGCAGGGCCAGCGACGTCGTCATCGCCATAGTCGTTGTCGGCGTAATCGTCATCCGTTCCATCCTCTTCAACCAGGCCTGCATTCAGGACCTGAGGATCGTATGGAAGCCCTCGCCACGGACGAGTCCATCGACGCGGGGCAGATAGGAGGGATCGCGCCATTCGCTGAGTCTGCGACGGAGGGCGTCTGACTCGAGTTTGAGGACACGGAGCGGAGCGCGTAGATGTGGGCAATGGAGGAGTTGACGATTGAGGACTTGGAGGGACAGCGGATCTGGGAGAGGTTAGGAAAAAAAACTGTCTCGGGTCTTACGGCGAGCGCAGTCAACGGCGTTGTAGGTCGCCCTGCGCTCTGTAGTGTTGGCGCGCCTGCTGGGCTTGCGCTTGGGCCGAACATGGAGTGGAGGCAGCGCTCTCGATAGGCGGGGGGAGGGCGAGAGCCTGAACGGAGCTGGAGGGTGAGACGGGAGCCTGAGGATGGTTGATGGAGGTAGGACAGTTGCCAGCGGAGGGCGCGCCGGGGATGGTGAGAGGGAAGGTCATCACGATAGAGGTTCAGTGGATGCAGGCGTGGATGCAGGGCGATAAGCAGGAAATACAGTGGAGACGGTCCTTGTCGAGGTGTTTTACGGCAGGAGATCGTGTCTGAGGGCGGAGGCGGAATGCGGCGGGACAAGAGCAGAGGGGTCCGTAATATAATCAGCGGAACTTAGCATGCAGGGGCGCGCCTCGAGTGATGTTGCAAATACCATCACCACCGGTGCTTGCGAGCCATCCAAGGCTTCCAGCATCACCTGAACCAAAACGCTTCCCGACTGCCCAACTGATCGAGTACACGCTCCGTTCAGGCCCCGAGAGCGTGTCTATGCCCTCCCATTTGTGCTCCTGCACGCGCTCCCATATCCTGATAGTCGTGTCGTTGGAAACTGAAGCGAGGAAGTGGCCGTCTAGGAAAGCGAGCGCCCAGACCGTCGAACCGTGTCCGGAGAGGGTTTGGAAGCAATACCGGAAATTCCTGGGGGATATCGATGTAGAGCTTAATCGTGTCATCGTAGAAAGCGGATGCGAGGATCTGCGCTCTGTGGCCGGTTGAGAGAAATGGGTAGAAGGGAGGACAGAAGGGAAAGAGGGCGATTGACCCATTCGGTCGGATGCCATGAGACGGCCTTCACGTCTTGTGTGTGCCCCATGAGCACCTTCATACACCTCATGGTCCGAACGGCCTGGACCGGATGGGATTGACATGATCATGTGTTTAACCGCTGAAGCCTGCGCACGAGCAATAGACCGAGGGTACGCACCTTCTCATATCCACGTCGGCTTGTCGCGACTGCAGCTCGCAACGAGGTTCCCCGAACTCGAGTGCGCCACGCTCTTTCACTCCATCTCATGGCCCTCCAAGAGGCTCATGCACTCTCATTCCCCTACTGGATTACACACGTCATCCTCTCCATCTTCACCACCTTCCTATGCCCATCCGCCAATACTTAAGTCAAACGAAGCCACTGCTAGTGTTTTGCCCGAGGGCGACCATGCAATCGCGCGGACGGTCTTCGCGTGCCCGGTCGAGATGGTCGTGGTATGCGAAAACTTCACGGACGAAGCCTCGGACGCACCGGGGTCGAAAGAAGGAGAGCAGCTGTACAGCCTGACGTTCTTGTCGGCAGAGCAGGAGGCGAGGATGGGTTTGTTAGTGTGCCACGTGCGGTCTTCGTGACCTGCAGGAATTTTTGAATTCGCTTCATGTGCACTGCGCGCATATACCGCCTTCCTGCTGAAGAATGGAGTGCATTGTCGCTGGTGATCCATGAACAGTTTGACGGCGTCAGAGGGGAACGGAGGGAAATGACGAGAACGGACGGAAAGACAAGATGACAGACATGCTTCGATGCCGCGCCGGAATGGATTTCGCAGAAAGCGCCTTGGTCTCTTGCCAGCCATCGTCCCGCTCACCCTATCACCACCATCCGCTCTCTTGACTCTGTGTCCATTTGCCTTGAGGGCATGATCTCTTCCTCCCTACTCCTACTAGCTTGAGATCAATTTACTTGCCAGTCCACTGCACCCACGACACGAAGCCTGCACGCTCTACGTCACCAGAAGTGTTCTATCCGCGCACTTCGTCCACGTATCTCCAACCTGGCAACCTTCTTTCTCGCACGGGGGCCGCACTCATAATCTAAGCGTACTTGACTTTGGGGCCACTCCGCCTTACTTGGCGTATCATGCCTGTGGTGTCGCGACATTGGGCCGCCCCGCCAACGCGGCGGGAGGTCATGCTCCTCTTGTTCTCCCTGACAGTGTTTGTCCTCTCTTACAACCTAGAGACATCGCTGGGCCTGGTAGGCGTGAACCCGCAGAAGCTGAGCGCGTCGTATCTGTCGAGCATAGGTGAGTGCTTCATGTGTTCTTTCCGGGCATCGGGGAGCGGGCGTCGGAGTAGGCTCGTAGAAGCACACATCATATGCCGGGGTGCGTGGGTCACCGGTGTGGTGAGCAACCTGACGGGGCCCCACAGTCGCTGTGTGGCAGTATGAGGGCGCATCGCAGACACGCGGCGAACGTAACGCTCTATTGCTACTTTGACACCGTCGGACGCACCCTGGCACGAACCCTGGCACGACGGGCAAAGCGGCTGTTTCCCGAATATAGAAACAGTGTGAAAACAGGTATGACGGGTTGATGTTTCGCAAGTGTTCCCGGGGTGTGTCTGAGGCAACGGAGAACGTGATGTTTCTTGGTTGTTTCCTGAAAACAAGCAAGAGGCTCCGTGTGTCGAGAAATGGGAAAGTTCACGGAAACATACGGGAAATATGGCAAAGCATGAATAGTGCCAAATGAGAGTGACACGGTGTTCTCGAAGACTGGGGATGTTCAAATGAAACATGGTGTTCCCTCAAGAGCTTTGGAGGGGGGAACCGTGTTGGAGCACCCCGGCGTCGCACCGTTTCTTTGCAGTTTCTCGAAGCGCTTCAGGTCTTCGAAAACACCACGCCACCCTGATACGGAAATACTCGTACTTTGTCATGTTTTTTGAGCCTGATTCCGTAGAGTTTCCCGTTTCTGGATACACAAACCCTCTTTCTTGGTTTCGAGAAACATCTCATTCCCCACTCCCTCAAACGCCCGGGGAACATTCGCGGAACATCAGCCTCTTAGACGTGTTTTCACGCTGTTTCCCTATTCGAGAACAGGCGTCTTGCCCATCGTGTGGAGACGCCGTGGCCCCTGTGAACGACCACCTATGCCTCCTCTCTGTTACGTCCCTTGAGAAAAGAGTGCTGAGTGCGCGCTTCATCTTCGACAGGCATCGGCTCGAAAGACCCCGGATTCGACGCGGACGGTCGCCGCCCCGCGCAATGGCGAGACGATCTCGAGAATCTCATCGTCGGAGACTGGGAGTGGCGCGAGGGAGAAGTCTCTGGTGTCCCGCGCGGGCAAGCGGCGCGTTCTGGTAGCGGGCGCCACGCGATGATATACAACTTCGGCAAGAGTTTGAAAGGGAAGAGTACAAGGGGGAAGCCCGATGGAGAGGAAGACCATGGGGGCGTGAGCCTGAGCACCGGTGTCACGGTGAAGGACCAGTTTGTGAGGTGGGGAAGAGATGTGCCTCAGACGAGGGTGCTCGCGCATGCCCCAGGTGAGTCTCATTCTTCTTGTCGCTGAATTAGTAAGTGCTGAGGCAGGACGTTTACAGGGTACACAGTACTGGAGAACGTTGTCGCGGTGAATGGCACGCTATTCGTTGTGGCGGACGACTGGACGAAGGTGCCAAAGCTGAGCGACATTGCGTCGTCCTCGCTCGACCCTTCAAGACCACCTCGCATACAGGACTGGCAGATGCTGACTACGAGCCAGGCGCGAGATTGGTTCGGCACATATGCAGCAAAGTGCGTCCCACAGATTTCAGCGCACAACATCTTAAGCTGAACTTGAGCCCGACACAGGATCCACGGCACGTCCTGGATAGCCCTCGACACCGCCGACAACCAAGACCCGTACCTCCTACTCTCCCTCTTCCGCACACACGCGTCCCTCATGTCTCCGCAGCCCTCCTCCGCCTTCACTTCCTCCTCCGGCCTGCGCATCATCGCCCCAGGGGCGTCTCCCTCCCTCCCGAAAGACGTCCCTGCGCCTCTCCGCCTCATTTTCCCGCACCTCCCGACCTTTTCCACCCCACACATTCCCCCGGCGCCCGGCGAGGACGAGAAGAAGCACCCCCCGCCCCGCGAGCGCTCGTACTTCGGCATACACCCCCTCCTGCCCAAGGCCGTGTTGCCTACCGTAGGGCTCTGGTTCGAGGAAGACTGGGAGGACCTGACAGAGATGCACGTCCCGTTCTTGTTCGAGCGCGTAGTCGTCGCGGACCGCGGGGCCGCCGACCGCGGGCGCGCAAACTGGCTTCCCCCAGCACCATCGTCCTCGTCCGACGCTGCGGCCCCTGCGGCAGAAGCGCAGGTGGAGGCACGCGCGGAGGGCCTGGGGAAGCGCGCCGTCGGGAACGAGGGCGAGCCCGTGTGGGCCGCGCCCTTCGTCGGGCTCAGCGCGCCGCAGGGGTGGTGGGCGCCCGTGCACGCTGCGCTGTTGCGATACCTGCACCTCCCCAACGACTCCCCCAGCGCGACGTCGGGCGCGGGAGGCGGGTTCTGGGGCGGGGCGAAGGGGAAGAGGAAGCCGGTGGTGACGTACGTGTCGATGCAGGACGAGCCCCGGGGCGCGGGGGCGCGGCTGGCGCACGAGGACCACGAGAAGCTGGTGCTAGGGCTGAGGAGGCTGGAGCGGGAGGGCGTGCTTGGGGAGGTGCACGTTGTGCGGGGCAATGGGAGCGTGTCGGCGCCGGAGTGGGTGGAGAGGATGGGGGCGTTTGCGAAGGCGACGGTGGGTGTCTGTTGCTGTTGTGGGCATGCATGCTGTGGGCGGCGTCGCTGACCGGATGCGTTGGTAGATCGTGATGGGCCCGTACGGGCACCAGCTCGCGGACAGCGTGTTCATGCGCTCGCCCCTTGCGGAGGTGCAGGTCCCGAAGGCGCACCAGAAGCAGAAGGAGAAGGCGGCGACGCCGGCGGCCCTCCCCCCGATGCTGATGGAGTTCTTCCCCCCGGGGACGTTCGTGCGCGACCAACAATACGCGGTGCAGGCGCTGAAGATCGACTACTTGGGCTGGTGGGCGGAGAGGTGCGTGTTCACGTCCTGCTAGCTATTGGGCGGAAGCGGGGTCACTAACGATACTCCGACGGTCAGGACGTTCACGAGCGACAACTTACCTGAACTCAGCTACGACTCGCGGACAGACCCCGTCGTGCCGATCGATGTGGACGCCGTCCTGCGCACGGTGCGAGAAGAGGCTGCCCGCCGTGCGGCATGATATGCGCGGATCATCCCCGCACGTCCTCTTTCGTCTTGTATATAGTACGATACTGCATGCGCGATACCTCGGACTTTGCATAGAGAGAGAGGGAGCCTGGGTCGTTCGTAATCGAGCTCTGCATCACACGATCTCCGTCCTCACTATCTCGCACTCTCGCTGCAATGCTATTCGATAGATTTCCATGAACGTATATAAGTATCCAAGCAAACCCGCAGACATCCATAGCACTGAAGCGCCCAATACATATTCGTGCATCGATCGTATTCCTGAGGGTGCTCGACTGGTGTATGTACGGTCGGCCCTTTCGGACGTCCGTAGCGGCTGAACCTCATCTGCCAAGTTCACTGCGATGACACCTTCCATGCGCGATATACATAACTTCTAGTATGGGTGCAAACGGATATGCCGTCAATCTATTTGGAGGGTCACTATTATGCTTGTTGAGCTGATGTCACCCGTCGAAAACACTGGCCCGGACGAGCGCTGTGTGCGGCTGGAAATAGGACGGACTGTAACAAGGTTGCTTCACTAACGCCGGTATACGTGCCGATTCCTACCGCGACCCAAGTTGCAGTGCTGTGCTGTGCGCTACATACCTCGCGGTCGCAATGAATTGTGTAGTTTGTATGAGGCTTGTGTCTGCCTTGACGTGTCTCAGAGTATGACAGAGAGGGGTCCGTCAGCAGACCGGGGAAAGGAAGTCCAGACCGGAGAGTTGAGGGTGTGAATTCATCAGCAAAATGGCTGGTGGCAGGATTCATCTTTGCCTGCGCCGTTGCGGCGGGTCGTGCAGCTTGCATAGTGTTCGAATGAAAGAGTTTGCAAGCGGATTGTCAGACAGAGATCTAGAGTGCAGCAGGCTGATGGAGGAGGGATGCCGGGGGACGGGGCCGGGAGAGAGCGTGGGAGGGTCGGGAGGGGAAGATAGGCCGACGAGGACGCTTGGCCCTCAGTTCTTGGTTCCCTTCCAGTTCGTTCCGCCTCGCCTCGTGCAAGGTCCTCGTCCAGTCCTCTGACCCAAGTCTCTCTTTTCTTGTCACAAGAGCTTTCCAGCTTCCTATCCCCGCCTCTTGTCATCTCATCCACTCCGCCCACCCTTCCCCCGCCCACTTATCGCTATTCCTGCATAGCCCTTTCCTCCACTGCACATACTAGCCATGGCCCCCTACGACGAGAAGCTCAACGCGACCGAGGAGGAGCAGGTCCAGATGCTCGAGGTTCGCGAGAAGGACGATGGCGACCTGCTGCCCTCACCCGTCTCCGCCACCGCGCCCCGGCCTGCAGCAGCCAGCAAACCGAAGGTGTCGGCGGCCATGATCATTCCTATCTGGATCGTGCTCAGCTCGGCGGTCATCATCTACAACAACTACCTGTACAACACCCTCCAGTTCCGCTTCCCCGTCTTCCTCGTCACTTGGCATCTGACGTTCGCTGTGAGTCCTCTCGTTCTGTCTTATCTTTTCGCCGGCCTATAGATGGCTCTCCCACGTCGTTCAGCAAATTCGTCGTGTACGCGTTGGGTACTTATTCATGCCGCGGCGCGACGTGTCCCGAGGGTAGCAGTACGTGAGCTGAGCGTGCTGGCGCAACGCGGCCGAACCTCGGCCAGCTATCTTTCCATCTCAGGCACGTCGCGACCGCCCGCGTCAAGTCGCGTCCTCCAATTTCCGCGCCTTCTTGGCCACCTCGTACATCATTGGCGACGGAGATAACGAGTTGTTGGCGAAGTGCGTGCAACGCATGGGCTGCGGCTCTAGAGGTTCGCTGTGCATGGCGCGGGGACCCTGCTGACAGCGAGTTAACGCGAACGGTGACGGAATGCGGCGATCGCGAGCAGCGTCCCGTTCTTAACGTTGAGTGGAAGCAGCCACAGCGCGATTGCGAACCGCGCGGGCGGCGGACGAGAATAACATACTCCAGCTACGACGTTTGTAGCGCCTTGAATTCGATGCGGGGCCCGCAGAGATAGCGCTGCTTTGTCAAGGCTGACGCTCTGGTCCTCCGTTCCTTTCCAATGCCGTATTTTTGGACTTCTGCTCACATCTAGCACCCACCACAGGCCATCGGCACTCGCGTCCTTGGCAAGACAACACATCTACTCGATGGTGTCAAGGACGTCAACATGTCGAAAGACATGTTCCTCCGCAGCATCCTCCCCATCGGTCTGCTCTTCAGCGCGTCCCTCATCCTGAGCAACACCGCATACCTCTATCTCTCGGTGGCGTACATTCAGATGCTTAAGGCGTTCGTCCCAGTAGCGATCCTGCTCATCTCGTGGACATTCCGGATCCAAGACCCTAGCAAGCGCCTCGCAGTGATCGTGCTCATGATCTCGTCCGGCGTTGCCCTCGCGTCACGCGGAGAGCTCCGCTTCAACCTCGTCGGTTTCGTCATCCAGGCCGCTGCCGTCGTCGTGAGTTCATGTTCATCTGTCCAATGATTCTCCCACCGTCATAGCCTTGCGTTGTTACATCGCGACATGACGAGAGTTGCGAACGTGTGCTGACCATCTACTGCTTCTTTCCATCTCGTCCCTGCAATGGGGAACAGTTTGAGGCCTCCCGGCTGGTGATGATCGAGATCCTCCTGCACGGCATGAAGATGAACCCGCTCGTGTCCCTGCACTACTACGCGCCGGTATGCGCACTCATCAACCTCCTCGTTATTCCCTTCACCGAGGGCCTTGCGCCCTTCTACGAGATCATGCGTGTCGGGTGCGTCGGCTCTCTCCGCTAATCTTCGCTGCTTCCGGGTGCTGACGTTTGCATCCACGCAAAACAGTCCGCTCATCCTGATCTCGAACGCTGCGATCGCGTTCCTGCTCAACATCGCCGCCGTCTTCCTCGTCGGCGCGGGGAGCGGGCTCGTGCTCACCCTCGCGGGCGTGTTCAAGGACATCCTGCTCATCACCGGCTCCGTGCTCATCTTCGGCGCGCAGATCACGCCCTTGCAGGTCGTCGGGTACTCGATTGCGCTCCTCGGCCTCGTCCTGTATAAGACGACCGGCAGCAAGTAGACTTCTCTGTTGTGTGCTCCGCCTGCTCTCGTCGTCGCTTGCGACGCTCCCTGGAAAGGAAGTGGCGGCGAGCAGCGTATGCTACGCTACGAACTGAACTAGACTTTGGACTGCGACGCTCTTGGACAGTTCCGGGACTCGTTCGGCTGGCGTTTGAGCGCGCGCGCACGCGAACACGCGGCATGCATGATATGCTATACGTACAATATGAACAGATCTTTGTTGCTCGCCTGGTGCTTTGGGGGTATCATAGTCATCACCACTGAATGTGTTCTGTGCTTGTGTACATCCGGACTTTCGCTACTATGGTGCAGTTCACTTAAACGCCTCCACTTTTGTACGCCGTTAGGCGCCGTGTCATAAGTCCTCCAGATATTCATTATTTCGGTCAATTTTGTGTGAATTGCAAGGAATTGAACAGAGGAAGCGATCCCCAAAGGGGATTCTCGATAGGGTCAGAACTGGCAAAAATGGCCGTACCAGTTCTGCCACGGCACGTGATTCGGGCGTCTATATCCCCAAAGCGTAATTTTATGCTTATATAATACCATACCATCGCCTGTACGGATCTGCATCCTTGAACTTGGGCCATGCATGGGAGGGTTCAGACACTATCGTGTTGTGGGGCAATGGCTCTATGGAGGTTCTTTGGGCTTGCACTTCCATCTGTGCAGCCTGGTGAGCTCTCGCGAGGCCTGCTAAGCAACGACAACTGATTCGAGCATACTGCCAAGTCACGTGACAACTAAGCGCGCGCTTAATCGCGTACAAAAGTGGAGGCGTTTAAGTGAACTGCACCATAGATTGCATATATACAGCCTACTTTAGACTCTGCTGAAGATTTGCTGGGGTGTCTCGACAGATGGCCGCTTTGATCGGTAGCGGGTCCTGCTTGCCATTGCTTTGTTTACGCATGTGTGAATTGGTCTCGGTTGAAACAACTCAAGACGAACAGCTCGCGCGGCTAAGCTGGAGAAAAGTTTCCGGCATTGAAAGACCGAGGGCAGCACCATCATGAACAATGCATAAGTCTATTACTTGAGACATTTATACAAAAACACTACAATACAAGAAAAATCCATCAGACAAGCGTCCAACTCGCTGGTTCACGCCCCAGCCATCCCTGGAGGGAGGAAGGAAGCTGCGATCCAAACGTCCTCGAGACCGCGCAGAACGCGGCCGTGGTTCTCGGTTATACGAGTGGACGGTGCTGTCATCGGCTGGATTTGAAGGATGTGGCATGTGTAAACATGCGAGACTCGAGTTAGTACCTATAAAATAGATCCTAGCTGAGTATGTTCTGAGGAAACAGGAAAGCGGGAGCGCGGGATTATATAGGGCGGTGAGTTTAGGGCAGGGCGCCGGGGGTCGGGTCGTTAGCGTTCAACGCTCGACGCGCGCTGCTGAGCCTTTCCGGTCTCTGGCTCGAACATTCAGCATTAAACAACGCCTGCGCTTTGTGATTGTCGTTCTGGCTGGGATGTATCATAAGGCATGAGTCCAAGATGAGGCTCATGGACCTGTGAATATTGATGCCTGGTACGTGCCGCTGCTAGTCTATGTCTACCTTTGTGCTGACCTGTCACCTGGTAAGCTATCCTCATTGTATGCGCGGAGCATCCGCTATCGACGAACGGCACATCCTGCCCATGGAGCGTACCATCGTCTCAGCATCTCAGCGTTCGTCTTCTGTACTTGTGAAGTTTGCATGACCATGCGCACATATGGACTTCTATCATGAAGGGCGCCGAATGCCTGCAATCCCGAACTCGTTGTCGACGCGGATAGGAGATGCCCTGAGATACCTGCACCAAGGTGCTGAGCTGACATCCTTGCAGTGGCGTATTGAGAAGTGTTTGGAACTGGGTTGCAGTGGTGAGTTATCTGTACACATTGCACTTGCGTCGTGAGTTGCCATATATGGTGTAGCGACCGCTTGGGTGTGTGCCACTCGCCGTCAAAGCGGGTTGTAATAACAAAGCGAAACGAACAAAGAGCCTTGCACCAGCCGCAAAGCTACTTAAAGCGCACCAGCTCCCTTTGTACCTCTTCATTCAACACTCCCATCTCCGCTTCTCCTGCGCTTTCATCTAATTGACTCCACCTCACGCGTCTTCACCTGCATCGCACACGCCGCATCGAGACTATCGCAATGAGTGCAACAGGATTCACGGTGTTTCGTCGCCTTCGCTTCCAACCGGCGTTTGAGGCAGCCAACAAAGCCGGCATGCCCATCTCCAGAGAAGCTCTTGCCCGTGTACATACCCGTCTACTAGAGGAGTGGCGTACGACTGCGCCTCAGCACGTCAAAGACAGGTGCGAGGAAATAGCAAGGCAACATAACGCCATGGAGCAGGCCGCGAACGCGGCGGCTTGGTCTCCTGGCCATCATTTTGACCACAATCCGCGCCTTGGGGGCCGGTCTGCTGCCGTCCAGCCGGGCCCCACGTCCCACATGCGCCCGTTTTCGTCCATCTCGCGTCCGACGTCCGCTACGTCTTCCGCACCATCTCCTCTCTCAGCCTCTTCGTCGACTCCCCCGTATATCGACCTGCCCCTCTCTGTGGGCACACCGCCGCCATTTCCGCCTCGTCCAGCCAGTACTGGTGGTGAACAATCCCAAGGTCCATACGATACGTATCTTCAAGGCGGCCCCATTGACATGAGTAGACCACAGCCCCGCTCAGTATGTCTTGGTTTCATTTGCTCTATGCCATGTGTTGACGGATCTTACACCGCATAGCACAACCCACGGAAAGCGACAAAGCGGAAAGCTGCCCGCAGCCACCCGTACAGCCGTCAATGGAACGAAGAAAGAGGGGAGCTTCGTCATGAACATGGGTCAATGCTACTAGGTCCGGGGACGCAAGAAGTGCCACCTGTGCGTAAAGCTGCTAAGCACAAAAACAAAGCCGTGTATATATACTGCCCAGGTTTTGCGATACCAGAGGGCAACGACGTCTCCTACGATCCTAATCTACCGACAGCTCATCCTACTCTACCGACAACGTATCATCCAACACGTCATCTTGCTCTACCGACACCATCTCACCCTGACCCCACTATGTCCTCTGCCATCTCCCCTGCCGACAATACTCCTTCCACTAGCGTACCCAAGACCCAGGACGTGACGCATGCATCCCTTGTCTCCGCTGAAGACACACTGGCCGCTCCGACGATAAGTCTGGGGACGGTTCACCAAATATCGGACAGCCTCTCTACCGACGGTTTTGTCTCCGCTTTCTCCGCCTCCACGCCGACGAGCACAACCGCTCCCACTCCCGACGTCGCAAGCCCACAATCGCCCGCTTCTAGTGACGCCGATGGCCATCCCCACTGGGACGACGTTGTTGCGTTCCACAATGCCGTCCTGCCCCAGTCGAGCACACCGCCCTTGCCAGACTTTGACATCCCCATAACGTGGAGACCTCGTCCGAGTCCTATGGAGTTGCTACCAGAGGATCTCTGGCCGCAGTATATCAAGGAGTGGTGGCAGGGTCGTTTCGCGAGTGCATGGGACGGCTTTGAGGCCTTGCCGCCACCGCCTCAGTGACGCGCATCTTGATTTGTTTCCTTCCTCTGTCTTGGGTTTCGATGGGTTCTCTCGGTGATGCATAGACTAATACTTTGTACGGCCATATAAATAGCGGCAATGGTACAAGTACATTCAGTGCGTACTGGCTCACAGCGTCTGCTTCTTCTGCGTGTGTCTAACGGCCCTCTCAGATCTTAAAATATTACAATAATGAAAAGTATCGTCTTAAGATGCGATTCGCTCCATAAGCTCTACTGCAGCATTGTGATCGCTTCGGTTACCAGCGCATTGCGGATGCTATACGACGCTTGAGCCTCCGAATATATTGGAATGTGGACAATACTCACCCTATCCTATTCGCACTACGATCCTTCTCTCGCTAACCGCAAATACTTTCAGATGATGCTATAGGGTCATGTCGTAAGCATTGATTCGAGGGGGTATCGACATATTCCGGAGAGTACATACCCGGCTTCCGGACGTGTTGATGAGCACACCCTCTCCAAAGGTTGCCTATTCCCCCGCCGTCTGGTTGGCACCAAGTGGTGAGTAACGTTGTTTTCTTCAGATGATGATGCACTGAATTGTTCCCGACTTACTTCCATCGTTCGAATCTGGCATTGAAGCAGGATACGCAGCAACAGTGGTTGCGAGACCGAACAGAAGGACAGTGAAGAAGAAACGCATGTCTGGCCGATATCCAAGAGGCTGGCAACTCTGGAGAGAGCTGGAGCGTCGTCGAAATCTCCCTCGGTCTTAATGTCTTCCAGCTCGCCCTCATGATTGGCGTGTCTTGCATACAAGGTGACGTTCGGTGGCTTATTGTCATGTCGGACGGTCGTAGATTGAAGCATAGTTGACAGAGTCGTGGGCCCGATGCATTGGCAGGATGGAGGGCTACCACAACACTCCCCTACTCCGCCTGAGACAGCTAAACTTTGTCGCCAGATCTGCACCCGCTCCCATCGTGCCACTAGGGCACGTTGCAAGTTTCATATAACGTCGGTTTGGCTTTAGACAGCAAGTCTGCACTGTAGTATTCAGAACATTGAATGTTGACGGAGACTTAGCGGTCCCGGAGCGGGTAGACAGAACGCTTCTCTCGAACACATCGGCTCTCCAGTTCATGTCGTGGATGCGCCATGCAGAACAAACACGCGGCACGCGCTTCCCAACCTCCGCTGATACAATGTGCATTCTCTAGTGACGCTGTCTACTTCAGAATGCTGCTCGCGATTGTGGCCCGTAACGGTACCCGAATTGCGACATACGACCGCGGCGGCCTCGTGTCATGCTTCTTTGCCATTACCATCTGCACCCTCGGTACCCGGTACCCGGACAGCCTGGTGGTGCATGTGGTGCTTCTACCAATCTATACTCGTACGGTTCTTTGGGAGGGCATCATAGGAACGTGGCTTGCTGATCAGTTCTCATAGGCAACACGTTGTAGCGAGCCATCATCTTGGTGCAGCCCTATCTCCTTTTTGGGAGCCCATGCGCTAGAGTCGTATACCGATGGGACTACGTCTCATGAAGTCAATTGCGGCAGCTTAAACTTCTAGGCAAGCACGACCGTCTGGCACCTCCTAATCCAACTCCTCGTCACCGCTCCAAAGTTCTGCTGTTCATGCTGCGTAGCTCCCAGAGCGCGGCGACGCCGCCAAAAGGCATGACATACTTCGTCATGTTTGCCGTAGTGCTTTACGCCGCCTTGATTTACGCCGTGTACGCCTTCTACAACCCCTCGATCCACGAATACAGTCAGTCGCCCGGTGCCACACCACACAGACCCTCGCTCTGACGACGTATGCAGCATACATCGGGGACGACTATCCTTCCCAGCTCCCGATCAGCCTCCCCGCCATCCAAACGACGCTGCAGTCCGGGGAGCCCGGCTTCTCGCTTTACGCCGACGACGACTGGGCGACGCTCTTCCCAGCCTCGGACGGGTTCACCGACCTCGGCACCGCGGCGACCACGCGCACCTTCCTGGTCTCCATGGTCCACCAACTGCATTGCCTCGACGTCTTCCGCGTCGGCTTCGTGACGAACCGCACGGGGTACGCGCACCACGTCGAGCACTGCCTGCGGTACATGCTGCAAATCGTGCTGTGCAACGCGGACACGACGCTCGAGGCGGACCAGGCGGGCATGAGGGGCGGACGGTGGGAGCATGCGGCGGGCGGCGTGGGATCCGTCCATCAGTGCCGCGACTGGAGGGTGCTGAGGGAGTACTTGGACGAGCATGCGGCGGGGCCGGTGCGTTTCTAGTGTAAATGGCGGGCATTGTATCCGAGAATGTCTTGAGAACGTCAACAACTGCACGCCCTAGGAAAATCTGAGAGATTACGACTGGGCGTATCAGACTACGCAGCCATGCACGCACGCAGTCGAGTGTTTGTTTTTGCGGTCACAATGCGAATTTGCAGCCATGTAATCGCAGAGGCGGATGGTAAATGACGCTAAGTTTTTTATTCCGAGGTCTCAATGGCCCCTAGACAAAGTGGTTTCGATGCCCGATGTGGATGGAGTATATTTCATGTTTTCTCTATTACCCATTCATTTCTTGATGCGCGCAAGATGAGTCTACTTCGTCATCAATCGACTACGGGAATACGTGGCTACGCAGCCTATTGTGTCTTCAAGTTTTCGCGAATCTGGACACGTTGTATTATTGAGAGTCTGAAGCGCGCAAAGGGCGCTGGTGCTACGTAGAGTACGAGTTCGTCAAGAACGGCGCCTACACGCGCGCAAGAATACGGGTGGGGTGAACGAATGGGTATCAAGCGAAATGAACAAGCTGAGCCTCGTTATGAGCATCCCTCAGACCGCGATCGCCATGCCGTCGAAGTCGAGGTCAAACGACTTGAGCTCCATGAGATCGCCGTCCTGCGGGGTGTCCAGCCTGGGCCCCGTGTCGTCCGAGGAGCCCGTGTCCATCGTGCGCATAGCAGGAATGAACGTGGGACGAGCCGGCTGGCCGTACTGGCCGTACTCCGAGTCGGCCGCGAGCTGGGTGAGGGAGGGGTTGTTGAAGGGCACGGTGCAGTCGCTCGAGATGCCGAGCGCGACGCGGATGACGATCAGGGTCGGCGCGATGCCCTATTCCGTCGGGTCAGCTCTATTTTCTGCGGCGATCGAGAAGCTGTGTATGCAACGCGACTCACGTAGATCTGCACTGCGATGACGGCCAGGATCGCCTGCGCAGGGTGCCCTAGGGCGAAGAGGACGACGAAGACCGCCTGCGTGACGAGGTAGAGCAGCCCGCTCTCGACGATGATCTCGACCGCGCGTTGGGCGGCGCGCATCGTCCCGCTCATGACCGTGCCGACGCGCTTCTCCGCGCGGCGCGCGCTCATGTAGAGCTTGCCGGCGATGAGCGCGGTGGCCATGAAGTTGGTCGCGAGGGGGAGCGCGTAGCCCGCGAGCCCAAGAGGCACGAGCGCGGGTGAGGGAACAGGCGCGGTCGGGTCCATGGTCACTACAAGGTGCGCGACGCCCATGATGCACGCTAATGTTATGATATGTGTGGGGGCGGCTTAGCTGCGGCATAGGGATGCAAAGTCCAGTGGTGGCTTACCGAAGCCGGCTCCCGCTGTGACTAGTGGCGCGATGATGATCCAATAGTTCTTGCCCCAGATGACCCAGCAGCGGTACAGGAGGATGAGGTCGCCAAGGAGGTCACAGAATGAAATGAGTATGTCTGCGCCTAGTAGAGGCATCGTCTCGTCCGCAAAATCCTCGACGCCAGTCGTTTTCTATGAGATCAGATTAGCTACCCAGGCGCGATACGCAATGAGATGGTGCGCTCACCAGCGTGAGGTAGAAATGGTTGAATTCAAGCACGAAGTGTGCCGTGCAGGACGCGAAAAGGAGGCAGTTCGCGATGAAGATGGGGATATTGAGATTGCGCCGTGGGGCCCTGAGACGACGTAGCAGCAGCACTGCTGATGTGAGGAACAAAAGGACATATGACCCTGTGGAATAACCCGCGTGGAGGAGGTGAGCCACCGTACGACTAGTTGCTCGGTAGGGAAGGCAAGCATACCCCACAAGACCGCTTCGCAGCCGAAGCCTACCAGAGCCGCGATGTCGTTGGAAAGGACCATGTCTAGAAAGGGCTGGATGGGTGGTTGAGGCGGGATGCGGTCTCGGGGAGCACGTACCGCAGCATTTGTTGGGTATCTGACTCGTACGCGAAGGACGAGCCAATTCGCGAAGCGGTGGCGGACGCGAGAATAACGGCACTGACGAGGCAGCATTGCAACAAAACTTTCTTTGTGTGACAGGTGTGCAAGGATAGCATGCGTGAAAAAGGGGGGTGGACACGACTTACCCGGCATTAGGATTCTCCCTGACGTGTCCTCTGCACGGACAGACCCAATGGTCGCGACTCCGGCCTGGACAGGCCTGCAATTTCCTAAAACCAACAGCATCTACTCCTGAGCGGCGTATGCACACGCTCCGGAGGAAAGGAAGTGATCATCGTTGTGAGGCAATATCCACTCCATGGGGAGCACGTTTACCACAAGTAGCTAAAGCTAAACAGAGATCCTTGTTTCCCAGCAAAGGTTTCATTGATGTACAAACCTACAGTACGTCTCGTGAGGCTTCTCCCGGGGTACCGCTCGCGCGCACGGACGCGCAGTGACAAAACGAAAATGTTCAATATGTGGATCGACTGAGGCGTTCGCAATCGACATAGACTACAGGAAGTCTGTCTCTCTGACGGACCTGATATCCAGAGGGACCTGCATCGTCGTAAGATCACCATGGGGTGGACGGACCACGGGAACCTGCAGGCCATCCATACGCCAGTGAATCTCCTTCCGAATCCCTTCCTCGTTCATTGCAGAGGGAAGCGCGAAGTGAACCTGGGAGACAAGAGTTGATATGATTTGTTCTAGGCAGACCGAGCGGTTAGCAAGCCGGGTGATACCAGATGGTTGGCTATCCATGCGACATACTGATTTCCATCTCAGCAAACTTGAAGCCGCTGTAACGTCGGGTTCAGAGCACCTCCCGGGAGTAAGCAGGAGGAGAAGGACTCACATGCAAGCGCGCGAACCGCCGAGGAAAGTCATCCTATCAATCGGGGCATCATCAGCGACGTACCTCGCCGCAAGAATCGCAAGCGTCGCTCACATGCTAGCATAGACTCCGGGATACCGAATGCCCCTCTTTGATCCCGGGGTGGCATCCATGACCCGCTCTGGAGCCTCCTCCCCAAATGCGAGGTCGAGACTGCCTGATCCGTAGCGGTTCCTCGAGGCGCCGAGCCAGCGTTCTGGACGCCATTCAGCCGCGTCTTCTCCCCAGACTTCCCGGTTGCGATTCGCGCCAAGGAGGTCCATGAGGATGTTCGTTCCGGCGGGGACGTGGATCGCGTGAAGCAGCCTCCCGGAGGTCGAGCGGACAGGGAACTCCAGCGGAAGGGTGGCGTCCTTTGTCGCGCTGAAGGAGAAGAAGACGTCGCGTTAATTGGATCGAGACCGCGCGGGCGCAATGCGTTGCGAGGGTGCGTACGTGCGGTTCAGCAGATTCGTGGGCGGATACAAGCGCAGCGTCTCGCGCACCACCGCGTCCAGATACGGGAGACTGACGAGTGCGTCGTAGGGCAGGCTCACGCGCTCCAGACCCTCGGCGGCGAGCGCTAGCTTTGCTTGGCGGACCTCGGCGCGCAGGCGCGCTTGCGCCGATTGTTCACCCGCGAGGATGTGAAGGATGCGGGCGAGGGCCGACGTCGTCGTCTCTTGACCACCTAGGAAGAGCGTGCTATCCGCGGCAATGAGGGTGGGAGCACTAGAGAACCACGCGAGAACGCACTTTATCTGGCCGATAAGCTCGTCCTCGGTGAGACGGTCTGTTTCCGACGTCGACATATTGGCTTGGACTAGGCAGGGTATCAAAAATGTAACATGGGCTCTGTACAGGCGGCTCTGAACGCTCACGCATAATGTTCATGAGGTGCTTCTTCTTCGAGCCATCGCCACGCTCCATCTCAACTTTCTTCTCTTCGATCATGCGCCTTGCGGACGCGTGCAGCACGTATGAGATGTCGCGCATGTCGCGCAGGGCCGGAACCGGAAGCCAATCGACCAGCTTATTCCGCCAGAAACGCGAGATGTTCCGCACAATCATGGGAATGAACGGACGCAACGATCGCAGCTTCATCCCTACGGGGCTGGCGCATGCATGCGGAGGTGAGCATCCTGTTGTAGGCACACACGCTGGAAACCACTGACTTGATAGAGCGTATCGCGTTCGCGTAGCCAATGTATTCGCCAGCCTCGGAAGGATCGAGCGTCCCAAGGGAGATCCCAAGGATCCCTCGGCCGACGTATTCCAGGGTACCTCGTGCCATCCACGGGAGCACATCTATCTCTTTGGCGCCTGACAAGGATGGTCAAAGCTAGCCGTAGAAAACAGTCACGGTTGCCGCAAGTCAGTCAGGCTTACCACCGTCCTCCGGAAGCGCTGCACAAAGCTGGCCGAGAAGTGTGTCCGCAATCGGCTGGATTACGGGCAAGACCGCGCGCATGTTTGCAAGGGAGAAGACTGAATTGAGCATCTTCCGCTGTTTCTTATGTTGTTCGCCTGCCCCCGAGAGAGCGTCATCAAGTCAATGCGTTGATAGCAGGTCTGCAATGAATGTACACACCGACGGTTGAAATCAGACCTTCGCCAAAGATCAACCGGTTGGAGCTAAGGAATGTCAGACGTTTGAGCCAATCGAACGAGACTCTGTGGACCCACATGAGGAACATGTCGGTCTCTTGATAGACGTCCTGCTCTTTGACGACGATTTGGTGTAGAGCCCGAGGGTCGGATACCATGAGGTTGGCGACCTGTAAACGCAGGTTACTCTCCAACAGCTTGGGTTTCCCCGATTGTGGCGCATACTCCGAGCATCCCATGGACTTTGCAGACGCCACCATACTGGCGCACCAGCTGGTCGTGATAGCTGTAACCGTCTCTGAACAAACGGTGGAAATTCCCTGTTGGAAACGGCATAGGTTAGGAAAGAGCATACAAGGGAGAATGGGCATATGCTCTTACCAGTCAGCCAATGCTCCTTCCTAGGCCCCGCTACCTCGTCCAGCCTTCCAGTGCCCAACAAAAACTTGGCCATGGGTTTCCAGAGAACGAAGACCCCAAGCAGGAACACGAGTAGCACAGACAGTGACATGCCGCTGCGCTGAGTCGAAGTGAAGTTAATCAGCCAACACCAAACGCAAGACGTGCAATATATTTCTGGAGGGCGACAGAATAAGACACATGGTACGCCGCACTGTGTCGCACCCATCAAGGTCTTCGGATTGAGTCGAATGGAGGCAAAATCTCAGGAATCGCCGACTTCTAGTCACGGAGTCATCATAACGCCGTATGATACTTCTCAAGACCACCAACATCGCGAAGGAGGGCGATTGTAGGTGCATGGGAACAGCGACGACGGGCGGGCAGCGCTGCAGACTCGAGTGGGCCATTGCATGCATCCTGAAGCTTTCAAAATATCGAGACTGTTGAGTCCAGCGAGACTGCCGGAGTCTGGCGGACTCCGGGGATCACATGACGTTCTCGGGAAGCACCCTTGGCGCCCAGACACCTAGACCTCTGCCATCGCTCCATCTCGGTAATCTATCATGACTACCTCATCGACTAGCCCCCGCCTATTGCCTGCCCATACGTATTATAGTGTAGAAGTCGATTCTTATGATATCTCCGATCTACATGCATGGTTACCTGGAGGTCGCTCCCGCAAGTCTGGAGTATTGAGGTTTTCGACACTGTTTATTCATTGACACCACCTTGCATGGGGACAGATTATAGTCAGAAGACAATTTGTGTAGAGGCCCTCTTCGGAGAGCTAGTGCTAGCACTCATCAGAGGGAAGATCACCCGACACCCTACCGCAAGGATTGGCTACTTCACGCAACATCATGTTATTGAGCTCCACCAGTACTCTGCTGAGATCTCTGCTCCGCTCTCTCCTTCATAAAGAAGAGGAATCTGCAGTGTGCAGAGCAAGCATTGTTGAACAGGCGCTGGTTTAAACAGCTTGCCCAACACAGCCATCACAAGATATGGAATGGTACAGCCGGTTACTGCAATAACCAAGGCTGTACTACTCATGTGGTATACACACAGCTTCACTGTGTACGCACTGCTTCTCTGTGTGACTGTGCATCTGGGAATGTACTCATCTGTAAAAACCACCTTTGCGAATTACACCTATTCAGTACAAATTAGCTCTTAATAGACACAGTAGTTGAATAGTGAAAAATAGTGCAAAATCGAGAGGTCCCCAAAAATAATTGCACTATTTCGCACTATTCATGCAAATTCGTGCAAAGTAGCACTATAGTAGATGGAAATAGTGCTACAGTAGACGTTGATAGTAGTGGATAGAGTGGGTCTATAATTTCTGACTAGTGTAGAAATGCTTAACATGACCTCAAAACCATCTGTTTATAAGCCCCAGATGCATTTAAAGTGCTGAAAAAAATATTA